TCAATTCTCTGATGGGCCAGAGCACACTGATTTTAGTTTGTCTGGCTTTTTTCTTGGTGTGGAGACACGAATGTAACTGGGAATATAAGTCTCTCATCCACTTTCTTTTAAACACTGATGATAGGATATAGTGTTGTGTTTCTTCAAGAAAAAGAAATATACTGATCTCTTCACCCCAGTGAGTGCTGCTACATTTTAATTATTTTTATGTTAAAATATAGAAGCATAAATTTTGGCCTAAATTCCATAAATGTACATTTTTAACTAATGTTTGAAATAGAATAGATTTTAAACTTAAATTTAAAATTCTATTAAGAATGCTAAAAATTTTAGTTACTAGTCAATTTAAGATTGTATGGATGAGCCAAAGGGTTTGGTTTTTTTTTTTTTTTTTTTTTTTGGTTTTTTCCAGTACCTGGAATCAAACTCATAACTTTGTGTTTACCAGGCAGGCACTATGCCACTGAGCTAAATCCCCAGCCCCAAACCAAAGTATTATTATAGGTTTAACAGAAGCGAAATACTCTCTAGGCTGACACTATATTTAGCCAGTTTCTATATTTTACTTCAAAAATATTTTTAGGAAACATCTGTCTAGATGTCATTATATATCATATTAGCGATAATATCTGGGTTTTTTTACTTATGATAATCAGACAAAAAGCTTGCTGACATGCAGTTTTTCAATATCTGTCTTCATGAAGTATGTTTTGATAATCCTATAAATGCATTATATTCAGGTGAAGGTAGGTGTCCTTTGTAGAATTATTAAAACCTATATTTAAATCAGTATCATAATTGTAGCTGTGAATCCAGAACATGAAAAATATTATCTTTGGAAATTTATCACCAATGTCATATCTTATCTGTTATGACTAATGACCTGTTACAATTTTAGGCTTTGAGTTCAGCATGCTTCTATTATAATGAGCCCTAGGTTATTTAACTCAGTTCTTCCAATTCATTTCTCAATTTGATCTAAATCTTTATTCGAAAAATGGACAAAATATCTTTTCCTCAATACTGGGTATTGAATTTGGAGCTTCACACTGAACTGTATCCCTAGGACTTTTGTGTGTGTGTGTTTTTAATTTTGAGACAAGGTCTTGCTGAGTTTCAGGCTAGGCTCGAACTTGTGATCCCCTTGAGTGAGCCTCTGAGTGCTGTGACTGGTGGTGTGTGCCACCATGCTCAGCACTAGGCAAAACCTTACACAGCTTTCAGCCTACACGTCTACTTCCAAAAGTAACAAAAATGAAATGATTAAGATCCTAGCATAGTAACTGAAAGCAAGGTGCCCATGTACATGATCTAGATGTTTGAGGTTTGTTTTACATATAACATTTCTGATGGAGAATTTGTAGTCACCTGATAACATATATAATGACCCCACATTAACAAAATATATATATATATCTTGCCAGGTTTTGAAATCAGCATGTGTTTGATTTCCAGCCCTGATGATCTATAACTTTATGATCTTGGAAAGTTTACTTAAGTTTTATAAGCTTTAGTTTCTTAATCAGGAAAATAAGCTGGCAAAGTTGTGAAATTAAATGATGTAATAAAGTACAATTCTCTTAGACATTTTTTTTTCATTCATTTAACCCCAGTGTTAAACACATTTTATTTGGTTTTCTGCCAAGTTTTTTGATCAGAGACTAATAGCAAATAGTGATTTATGTAATATAAAACATAATATACATACAAATATAACTATATCTAGATAAATATGTCTTCATATGGATCATACATATTTATACAAAGAGAGGGCAAGAGGAGTTTTTTAGGTGAACAATTAGATTGCCTAAGAATGTAGAAGTAATTGAGTAAGGAAATGGTTTGTAGTGTGGAAGTACAGCTGCAAATCAACAATATTATAGAAAAAAATAGAAATAGAGCTCACTTTCACTGAAAATATTTCCCACTTTTGAAAACTTGGTACATTGGTGTTTTCTCTTGTGATTTCCAGAGTCAACTTTTCTAATCTTGTAGTGCTGACTTCAGAGGTGTCCAGACTAACAATATAAGAAGGGGTTCTTTAACTCTGGATTTGGTAGACCCCATATTCTAAAATGAGATGTATGTACAAATAATTATAAAGGAAGTAGAGTGAGTTCTGATGTTAGTTTCCAGTTCCTCCTCCCCAAGAATTTCGTGATAAATTCAAACCACTGTGTCTAAGGAATAGCTTAACAGCCTTCAGGGTAGTCTGGCCTGAGTCAGCTTGTGATCCTACTTTTGTGTTTCTGTGTGTGTCTGTGTGCATGCATCTGTGTGTGTGTGTGTGTGTGTGTGTGTGTGTGTGTGTGTGCGCCTGTGTGGTAATGGAGGTTAAACCTAGGACTTCCTATATCCCAGATTTTTAAAATTCTTATTTTGAAACTAGGTGTCACTACCTTAACCTCAAACTTGTGATCCTCCTCACCCTCCTAAGTACCTTGGATTATATGCATACTACATTGTGCTTTGTATAACCCTTCTTCTTGTTCAAAACGACCTAACTGGAAACTGTGCAGCTTGCTTTAATGCCTCTGTTGCTTTTGGCCACTTATTTATTCCTTATTCATTTACTTTTAGTTTTTTTTAAAGGATGTTATAGATTCAACCCAGGGCCCCAAGCATGTAAAGCAAGTGCTCTATCACTGAGCTACACTCCCTGCCTTTCACCTAAAGATGAGAGGGTATTAGAAATACAGGAGATCCCAGATTTTTAGTCTTGCCATACCTTGCTAAAAGTTAATGGGAAGCAAGGACTGTGATTGTGATAGTTCTTTTAGTATAATTTTAGTATCATTTATATATATACATATATGTTTGTAATTAGGTTAATTAGTCAAAGTATTGTGGTTTCAACCTTGAATTTCAGTCACCTTTTAAATATATTACTTTTGATGCATGAATGGGTGCAATTAGAATTGTATATATGTAATTGTTAATGTAAATCTGAATAGACCAGGACATATTAATTTTCACAGATCTACCACTAGAGACTATGGTTTAGGGAAATGTGTATGGTTATCAAGTTGACCAGAGGTAGACTGCAGTGGATTGACAACGGGTGGTCAACTTGTAACACCCAGCTGAATTGAATCAGCATGGGAATAGGAGGCCCACCTGAGGACTGTTGCCAACAAAATACAAAAGAGAACTGAAGAAGAGGAGCTGTTAGAAGGCTGTTGGTTCTCCTGATTATCACTGATTCTCCTGGAGGAGCTTGTCAGACCGGCTTTCTTGTTATGAATGCAGATGTTCTCATCATCAGAGGAGCTTCGAACTTCAATGTCGCTGAGGATGGCTGTGGTACTTTTGCGGGGAGCTCTGGTCCTTATTTTGAGTGTCACTTCCTGGCTCCAGTGCAGATTCCTCAGCCTGCTGGCAAAGATCTTTCATCCTGCTGGCACAGACTTTCTAGTTTCCACCACTGACGACTGGGCCTTCCCAGTGCAAATCCATGAAACAGACATGCATGAGACATTATTGTGGGCTCTTGGCCTCCAGTTGGACTTGTGAGAGGCATTATGATGTTCTCTAGGTCTTCAGCTGGGCTCATTCAGGATATTGCTGTGGGATCCAAGCCCTCAGCTGGCTTCTTTTGGTCTTTAGAGTGTGGACAGATTTCCTGAACTCTTTTGTATTTGACTCTTTGGGTGACTATTATAAAATAATCCTATAAATACTGTGTCCTATATTAAATTATTCCCCTTGCAAACTGACTACAATAGTGTTCTAATGATTACCTTGAGAATGGCTCATCTGGCCAGGCATGCACAATTTTTATCTCAGCACTTGGGAGGCTCTGGCATTGCCTCAAGTTCAAGGCCAGCCAGGGCTACATAGTGAGTTTAAGACTAGTCTGAATTATACAGTGAGGCCCCTCTCAAACAATAAAGCATAACAAAACAAAAAGAATCAGTTGCTACCCATTCTTCTTCCTAGGCATATTGTCTTGGATCTTCACACTGAGCTGTATACCTAGGATTTTTTTGTTTTGTTTTTAAATTTTGAGACAAGGTCTCACTGAGTTTCCAGGCAGGGCTCAAACTTGTGATCCTCTTGAGTCAGCCTCACAGAATCCTGGGACTATTGGTATGTGCAACCATGCCCAGCACCAGGAATAATCTTATAGAGCTTTCAGCCTACACGCTTACCTCCAAAAGCAACAAAAATGAAGTGATTAAGATCCTAGCATAGTAACTGAGAGCAAGGTGCTCATGTACATGATCTAGATGTTTGTGGTTTGTTTTACATATACCATTTCTGATGGAGAATTTGTAGACACATGATAATACATATAATGACCCCACATTAAGAAAAAAATATACATCTTACCAGGTGTTGAAATCAGCATGCAAGATGGTTTGAGCTTATCAATTTTGACCATCCTTTGATAGGAAATCTGATTCCTCCTGTTTAGAGCACACAGCAGTGCCTATAAAGTGTTAACTAAACACCTTCTCTCAAAAATATTTGTTGTAAAAACTCATCAATGTAGTGTTGAATGTTTTTTATGTACATCATGTGTGAAGTTGTTGAACTGGGTGCCAGTAAATGTGATAAAACACATAGAACTCTGACAGAGTTGTACAACATAAGGGTTTTTCCTTTCTTCTGACCCCATACTTGAGACCTGCATGCATCTGGGGAAAAGGAATAACTTGTTAGGTGGCCAAAGACAGATAATGCTTGGGGTCAGTATAGAGAGAGGTGAACTGAGCATTATTTGAATAATACTTTTATTTATTAAGCATCAGATCCTTTCCACGAGTTTTCCATGTTTTAGGCCCAGGGTAAGCATGTAAGAAAAAGGATGAAAGAAAGTAGATCAAACATGAAGTCGTCTCTCAAATTTATATATGAAGGAAGAGATTGTGGGAATTATTGAATGTTATAAGGCACACATAACTTGCTAAAAGGGAAAGATCACCCTGCTGTAAATTACGTGCCCTGTGACAACTCCCTTTTCTTTTCCTTCTTACTTCTCATTTTATTCTTTGGTGTCCCACATGGGAAGAGGAATGAGTTGGACACATTTAGATTTTGCAAACTTGTGGGTTGAGGAAAATGCTATTGAAACACATTGCTAAGAAAAATTTTCAACACAAATGTGTCATTTCCTTTCTTCATGGACCAGATGCTGAGATACTATCAGATAAAGATTTTAGGTTTCAATTGCAAAGAGAAGGAAGTGGAGGAATCAGTGCTGCCTTCTTTACAATCCAAGGTAAAAGAGGCTTTTTAAAAGTCTTTTTTCAAAAGTATTTCTATTGATTGTATGTGTCCGCTTCGTGTGTGTGTGTGAGAGAGAAAGAGGGGTTGTGTACATATTTCTAATGGAATATTTTCTGGTATTACTAATTTTATTTGGTTACTTTAAATGCTTCTACAAAGGTTTTTTTGATAAGGTTTGCTGAGTGAAAAAATGGATATATATGTATAAATATTCATGAAATACACTAAATAAATTGTAGTTTCAACTGACAAAAAATGTTTACCATATAAATTATGCCTGTTTTGTTAAAAATATTGGCTTGATTCCAAGTATAATTTAACAAATTTTAGGTACTCTATTTTCCTTACTTTTTGCACAGTATTTCCCACTTTGAATTAATTTTTTTTTTTTGTAATCATGACTTGCCTATATAGGAAACAATTATGGGATGTCTACTATAAGTAGGTGATTGAAGTAGATGTAGGGAAGGGATGCAGAGAATGAAAGATTCTGTTCTCAGGCATTCATTATCTAAGGCATAGACTCCAACAGGTGTAATGTAGTAAAATTGCTATAAATAACTACTGTGGAAATGTAGGAGGGGCTGAAATTACTTCACCTTCAGAAAGACTTATCAGAGAAAAAAATCTTCATGGAGATGTTAGAATTTAGGTTCATCTTGAAAACTAGGTAAGACTTAAACAGAGTGCCATGAGAGGTTGGTATTTGTCATTTGCAAATAATGAAAATAATGGTAAAAATAAAGGCACATAACTGAGATTACGAATGTTTTGTGTGGTGGTTAAAAGCTAATATTCTAATAGTACACTGCCTGCTTATTTTCAGATCCCAGAATCCCCACTCCCAGCTGGGTGACATTGGCTAGTTACTTAAACATTTTTGCTCCTGGTTTTCAGAGATATAAAATGAGAAAATAGGCTATATATCTCATGGAGCTACAGCAAGGATAAAATTTTAAAAATCCATATATGAAAAATAAAATTTTCAAATAACAATTATTTATTAGCTGATAATTTTCTATGTATCAGGCAATTTACAGAAAAACATTTTTAACTCTCATGGTCATTCTTTATGTTAGTGTTTTGCTGCTGGGGATTGAACCTAGGATTGAATGCATGCCTAAATGCACATACTACCACGGAGTTGAGGAATATTCTCAGCCACAAATTGTTTCAATTAATGTTATAATCATACTTTATATATATATATATATATATAAAGAAATTAAAGTTGAAAGAAGTTAAAACATTTGCCTAAGATCGTACATCTGAATAATAACAGTCAAAACTGAAAACTAGATATTTAGATTAAAACACTGATGCTCTCTTTCTGCCTTCTCTACTAATGATGACCACAATTGATATTAGGTAGAATGTGGATATATTTTACTAGAACCTGTCTTACAGACATATTCCTCAGCCATGAGCTATTGGTTGCATGAATATAAAATTTGATTTTTTTTGTTTTGCAATTTGATTTTTATTTGATATACTTTTCAACTATTCTTGCATGAATATCAGGATTTATTCTTAAATAATAAATGTTACAAGATAACTGTTTACCCCAAAGCTTAACACGAAAATGTTGATGAGTCTAAATAGAAAACAATTTTAGAAGAAAGAATGTACAGAAAATATAAATAGGCAGGTGGTAAATACACACTACATGTGAATAACTCATTTTCACATACATATAAAAATAAAGCTCTTGAGGTTGTATAATGAATACAGTGAATGGGTATAAATACACAATAATCTAAGAACTACAGGGCTGGGGATTTAGCTCAGCGGCACAGCGCCTGCCTGGCAAGCGCAACGTCGTGAGTTCGATTGCTGGTACCGGAAAACAAAAAAAACAAAAACAAAACAAAACAAGAACTACAATAAACACTACATAATTACATGTAACTGTCCTTTCACATTAATAACAAAAACTGAAACTGTCTCTGCACTATGGTGTCTGTGGTACTAGCTACTCAGGAGGCTGAGGCAAGAAAATCATTTGAGTCTAAGAATTTGGAGTCACATGGGAAACACGATGAGACCCCACCTCAGAGAGAGGGAGGGAGAGAGAGAGAGAGAGAAAGAAGGAAAGAGGAAGCCTTGGGTATGATTTAACTCTTTGTATCAAAATCTAAATGAAGTTTGGGCTGGGGATGTAGGCCGTGAAACAGAGCTTGTTCAGCAACCGCAAAGCCCTGGGTTCAGACCCTAATACCACACATGCACGCACATCTACATGATTCTAAAAATAAACAGTACTACACAAGGATGTTGGATTTAAAACCTTTATACCCATATATGACTGATATATTTAAAAAAATGTACCATTATTTTAAATAGAAGTCAGGCAACAGATAAGTCCAAAATACTTTTCCTTTAGCCAGGTAGTTGAACCTATGGTGAACTGTCCTTAATAAGCATTTCAAAAGTATAAAGCTAACTTACGAATATTGTTTATGACATTAGAATGTTAATATAGTAAAATGGCTATACAAATAAGATACATATATTTGATGAATTATTGTGTAGCTCATTATTTTAAAATTGAAAAAAGTTACTTGAAATGTAAAACAATTTATATAAATTTTTTTGGAAATCCACAATATGTATGTTCTTTATGACATCAACTGTGTAACATATATTTGTCTGTACAGATTCAAGTTTCATCTGAAAAATGAAGTTCCTTTCCTGTATTAGGATGATGAGATGACAGAAGTTTTATTATGCCTATTTACATTATTGTTACAATATTTTTAATGTTTATCATGAAAATAAAGGGTTCCAAACTTGTTATCTTTGAAATTCTTTCACTGTGATTCTCTTGTTATCACTTCTATAAATGTTTAACTTACTGTTTATAAGCTGACATTGCAGATATATTTCACTTCTCATGAGAACATGCTTTTAATAGATTATACAAACCCACAGGATTTCATAATCCTCTACCATTTGACATTTGATTGAAAAAGTTGGCTTAGTGAATTTAGTTTTTCTCTAACTTTGGAAATGTTACTTAAAGGCACACTTGAATTGTTTGAATTGTTTACTGGCTTCTAATAGGCCTTCTATGTGTTTATACTACAACATTATTTAAATGTTATCGCTATAATAGCTAAAGTACTTAGTTTACAAGTAGTTAGAATATCAGAAATAATCTGATATTCTAATAATAAATTCCCCTAAAACAAAATGGGGACATTCGGAGTGAAATATCTTTGTTTTAGTTTGCTAGTTACATGCAATTCAGAGAAAAATATTTTATTTTCCAGCCTGTAAAAGAAGAATTTCCATATTAATAAAATTTGAACTTTGCATGGCACATAAACTGAGATCTGAAATCTAGTCATCTTGCTGAATATTTTGGCTTTTATTTACCTCTGTAATTTTTCAATGATATGTGTGCAGTGATAACTTTCTATGAGTCAGAAACTCTGGTCCCTGAGCTAAAGAGATGAAAACCCATATCATAGATCTAACTTGGGCGAGGGAAGACACATGTGAGATAAGACAAATATGGAAAAACTATTTTGTATTAGACTGTGATACCTTTTGAGGAGAAAATCCAACCAGAAAGAAAATGAAGGGGGTAACACTATCATCTGTACTTTTTTTGGAGGCAGGGTCTCACTATGTAGTACAGGTCTGCCTTGAACTCACTATGTAGCACAGACTTGGACTGAACTTACAGTTCTCCTACTTCAGCCTTCCAGAATATGAACCAGCACATATATTTCGGTTTTCAATTGTGATTCCTGGCTCATATATCCCTCCATGGCAAATCACAGAAATTCTGACCTATCAAAGGGTAATCAGCCTTGAGACCCTCCTCATCGCGGAGGAGGTATGTGCTGTATCTTGGAAGAAGTGCCGCACAGAGAGGTTAAGGAGAATGTGAACAGACCAGCTTTGCTGAGTTTCTCCACTCAGTCTATCAGCATTCACACCTATGCGGTGCAGCCTTCGTAGAAAGTCAGAAGGACACAGAAAATCAGACTTCTGAAAGCTTCCAGATGACTGGATATGAAGAGATTCCTGGGGGCCTTGCTCCTGAAGAGAGCGGGTGGAGGTTCCAGGGCCCGTCGCTCACACCTCACTCCATGCTTCTCTTCATCCAGCCATGTATTTGTGTCACTTATGTCCTTTACAATAGACTGGCAAACATAAGCAGATTAATTAACCTAATAAGGACATACAAAGCCGGTGAGATCACCAAGGGAGTCCAAAGAGAAAGCAGAAGAACTGGGCCCTAGCTCACTGTGGTAGTGAGATGGTGGGAGGATGAGGAGGAACACTTGAGGGGGAATGGAATGCTGCTTGCTCTCTGTCTCAGAGCAATTACCAGTACAGTGTCTCCAGACAGGAGCCATAAACTCAAACAGCTTTCAGGCACACATATATGCGAGGCTGTTCATCTTTATGCATCTTTGTACCTTAACTATTTATTGATCTTCTAGGAGTGTGCTACTGCCTCTGCCGTACGGGTGAGCAGCTCAGCTCCACATGCGTGTTACAGATGCCCTTCGTGCTTTCTAGTTCTTTTTCTTCTCCCGAACCTGACTGTTTCTTGCTCTTCTCCCACAGCTGTCCTACCGGTTCTCCCAGGTCTTCAGTGCCAGATCATCTTCCTGTACTTATGGACTAAGTGTGTTTGCTCTTAAATTTGTGTGTCTCATGTGTTCTTTCTTGAAAAAGTATTCAATTCTTCTCTGTATTCTCTGTTGAGGTGGTATGTTTGGTATTTGTTTATCAATTCTTTTAACTTTTTTCCTGTTTTGTAATGCTCTTATCCCATTGCTACCACTCAAGATGCCTGGCTGGGGTAAATAAAAAGGAGCGAAAATCTGAAACTCCAGACAGCTGGGTCAGGAATGAATCCGAGGAAGTCAGGAGTTGCTATGTAATCAGGGTAGATCTTGGAGGTGAGAGTGGTCTCAAACAGATCTGTGGCTTCTGATTTGAGTGACTGCTTTGTTAGCTCCTACCTCTATCTTCCAATGTGCACAACGGTGCCATGCATTCTTCATTATACAATAAGTAGATCATGATTGTATAATAATAAATAATAATAATAATAAATGGATGATATGGTAGCATCAAAAATCCCAGGGGAAAAAGCTTGGTTTGAAAAATGTACCATTGCTTCCGCTTCTGTCATTTAAAAAACATCTAGTTGTGAAACGTGAGAGCTCAGCTGATTGTACTGAACCACCTCCCATACAGAGAGCAGTTCAAGCCCTTGAAGTTAGAGCAGACCCCAGACAGAGTACAGAGAAAGTAACAAAGGTAACAAGCAAATGTCAGCAAGCCTATGACAGTGCTCTTTATGATTAACCTAGGTTTTTGTTTTTTGGGAAAAAATATATGCCGATATATCATGCAGTTTGTAATGCATGTAATTTAATTCCTGCTACATTACATGTGATGTAGTTCCTGCTCTATCATCCACCAGAAAACCTGCAGAAATAGTGTACTCCAGAGAAGCCAGGGAGAGTATTTTTCCTGCATCATTCCACTCAATAGATTTTGGTGTTTGTTTTCCTACAAGTCACCTATACCTATCAGAGGTGTTATATAGACCAAATGTGGTTATTTAGGCAGAACTCAGACATTGGTTAGAGAATTTTCTTTCTGAAATGTTTAATAACTCTGTCTGAAAAAATCACAGTTCAAAATAGAGTAATACATGAAACATTTATTACCACCATTATAAAGTAAAGATAGATCAAAACATGGAGACTTAAAAGACAAAACTGGATGTATTCTGAGGCAAAAAAGAAAAAAGGCACAATGTTTAATAGATAATGTCTTTTGTGATACTAGTAATAGTAATCCAGTTCACTACAGCTAAAAATGCTTTCAGAATAATTTTTCCTTAATTGTAGAGTGATTTCAGTATTTTATTCTGGAAAGCCAGATTGATTTCTTTACTCCAAAAAATTAAAATCAGTGCATAAGCTGGAAGCTTCTAGCTAGAAGCTTCTGCAGCCTCTGACTGGACCCTGTGCCCCTATCTCTTGCGTCCATGGTGCTGATTCACTTGGAACCCCACATTGTTCATGTATTTATGTTTGTAACATATTTTCTATTCTCCAATAATCTCACCACAAATTTCTGCTCGTTTTTCAAAACACTGATAAAATATTATCTTTTCTGTGCTTCTACAAAAAGTTAATCTCTCCCCTTTGTCTAATGACTGTGACTGCTCTATGCATATCACAATTCAGATGGTTATTTACAAAGAATGCTGTTTTTTCTATTAGTGCCTAAGATCTCTGGAAGACTGAGAATGTTCCATACACACTTATCTCAGCTTACTGCTCACTTGCACAGTGCTTGTTACAATGACAAGGTAAATGACTTGACACCGCGCCTCAGCAAGTGTGTGGATAGAAATAACATTTATGCTACCGCACTGAGGCACAAGTTAGGCCACTGTATTATAATTCTGCAAAATATTTCTTCAAAATATAAGACATTATATAAGAAAGATATAGAGATTTAATAAAGATCAGCTCTCGATAAATTGATAATCACAAAGATTTCTTTGAGAAATATAACCCCCAAATTTGATTGATCTGTGTTGTTGCTGAAATTCATCAAGTTTTTTTTGTTTTTCAGGAAAATGAATGTTTATGAAAGGCCTGTCAGCAGTCAGACCGCTAAAGGCAAATGTTGCTGACGGAATCCTGCAGTTCCTGTCTCCCCACCCACGTTTGGGAGGCAGGAAGGGCTGTGGTTCTCACAGAGGCCTATGAGCTTGGAAATACCAGGAGAGTAGTTTCAGGGGAAATTTTTTTTTTCACCTTTTAAAAATTTTTATTTTAAAGAGAGAAAAAAGAACAATAAAAATGATACAGAGTTTCAAAACAAAATGATAGGATATTTTTGCAGAAGGAATGGTGATACAATGATTTCAAAGGTATTTACATTTTGAAGATGACAACCAAAATTGATAAACTTGTTAAGTAACTAAGATAACCCCAAATTTAAAAAGAACAACTATCCTAATAGAAAAACTGGTAGTGCTTCCTTGAGAATTGCAATTCTATAGTCAAAGCCAGGGGCCAACTGGGACTTACAAAGTGCAAACAAATGTAAATGAAGAACAGGTGAGAGGCAGCTCCTCAGTGGCTTAATTTAGATCCATGGAAGCTATGAAAAGAATAAGAATGGAAAATGAAAACAGCCACAAATTCTGAGTCCAAAAATTCCTTTATCAGGTGAAGCATACCTCTTTCAGTTCCCCTCTTTCACCCATCGATCTTATTTCACGGACAAGAACAAAGGGAATATATGAGACTAATGTCTTACAGAAAGCAAACCAAGTCATCCATTTAACAAATACTTAGGTTGCTCTGGCAATATCATTTTGAACCAAAACAAATATTTTGCCAGTCTTCCATAGTTCAGTCTAGATTCAAAAGAATCTGAAAAACCTCTTTTGCAGAAACATTCCACCTTTTGCATAAACATTCCTAGGTGGGAAACAAAATAATCTAAGGTGTTTCTTTTGCATTTCAGTGAAAATAGAGTCTGAATATCTCAGATGTAAGGATCAAAGCCATGAGAAGGGGAAAGCAAGCAGTCAGAAAAGAAAATATTTCTAGTCACATACCAGGTGTGTATGAACACAATGTTTGTGACTCCATTCTCTATAAACTGAATTCATAGTTAAAAATTTTTACTACATAGCCTCAGCTACTTTGAATTATAGTTTGAAATGAATTTAGCTAAATTATAGTTACCTCAAAATTTTTTTGTTTGTTTTCTTTGAAAGGTAGAACTCTTATCCAAATTTCATGATAGAGTAAATTAAAGAAGAGTAAGTGGAAATAAAGGCTGGATCTGAATGGTCCAACGTAGTTTCTTACAGTTTTTCCAGATAATTACTTTTATGTTTGAGTTGAAGCCTTGCTACTTTGCTAAGATTGGTGTTGTCCTCTTGGGGTCAGGTGATCCCCTCCTTGGCCGCAAGAGCAAGTGAGTCTCTAGGTGTGCATCATCATGCTTGCTTTGTTTATTATTTTTACTTTGCCTCAGTCTCAGGAAAAGAAAAGAATTTAGGCCCTAGTTCTACTCTACTCTATCCACTTCACTCATAGAAGTCGTCATTTAAAGAACACAGTCTTTGAACAGATCAACACAGGATTGGTAGAAATCAGTTTTCAGATGATGTATTTTCAAAGACTGTCATAGCAAGCAGCCAAATAAAACATCTCCTTAGAAAGGCTTTAAAAATATATTGATAGAAATTGAGTCACATCCTTGTGACTGCTTCTCCCCAAAGCAGGATGAATCTTTTCATATGAACAATTGCCCTTTATCGTAGGTTGGATTTACGTTCAGTGTCCTGGATTTGCCAGTGTGCTCCATTGAAACCGTGCAGGGCTCAATCCATTACTCGACATTTGAGGAAATAAATGATCAGAAGGTGTGCGCTTTATGTTAAATTGTCAGTCAAATAAAATGAATAGTGCCCCCCCAAAAAAAACAAAAAAAACAAAAACCCACCTACTTTCTTTTCATAGAAAATGTTCTTAAAATGTGATCTTAAGACCAGCAGCAGAACATGTTGAGAGCTTATTAGAATTGTGAATTCTTTTCTCATTCTGTTTTATTTTCAATCAGCTTTATTTATTTATTTTTCAAGTAGAATTTTAGGGGCTGAAGCTGTTGGAGCATGTGTATAGCATATTCAAGATCTGCAATAGATCCCAAGACCACAAACAAAAACAAAACAAAAGAGAAGTTTGTTTTCTTGAGTATATTTTTAATTTAAATTTATACATGTATGTTTTATGCATGTATTATGTATTTTCGCAGTGCTGGAGATTTAATCCAGGGCTTCTTGTGTGCTCCCCAAGCAATCTTCCACTGAGCTATATTCCCAGCCCTGATTAAATTTATTTTATTTTATTTTATTTTATTTTATTTTATTTTTTTTAGTAATGGATAGAGGATAATTGAAACCAGGAGCTGTACATTTTGATTAAATTTATTTTAATGGGTACATAAAAATAGAAACTGTACACATTATTGGGATATAATGTGATATTTTGATATACTGTGTGTGTACATTGGATGACATTAAAACCAAGTTGAAAAGAAAGAATTGGTATGTGTTATGTACATGTATGAACTCCACACAGGAATATAAATATTATGTACTAAAAATGTGTACACACAAAAAAGGAATTAGATCAAGGGGTGAATAAAGGGGGGGATAGAAGGTAAAGACGATGTAGTAACGAACAAAAATGTGTTATCTATATGTACCGTAAAAACTTCTCACAAGGAATGTAAACATTATGAACTACACACTTGTACGAATAAACTAAAAGTTTTTAAACATCAGGTTAAACAATCCACCTCCTCATTTATGATTCTTTATGATGAAAACTTCAAGATCTTTTATTATAGCTTTTTGAAATGTATAACACTTTATTGTTATCTATAATTACCTGAATGTGCAATAGTACATCAGAACTTCGTGCTCCCACCTAACTATAACTTAGCACTCATTGATGTAGAGTTACAAATTCTTGACCACTGCCATTCCCCACAAATATCAGAAACTCTGGGTATGAAGCCCATCAATACCTTTAAGATGTTTGTATCAGTCAGAGTTTACTAGAGAAACAGATATAACACAAGATGTACAAATATACACGAAATTGTACGTTTGGCTTATAATGGTCAGCCACAGAGTGGATGAGGAAGTGTGCAGAGGCTGTCTGCATGCTGGAGATTGAAGAGCCCAGCCCCAGGCCTGGGGCTCACTGCAGTGTCCGTGCAAGTCCATATCAGGAGGCTGATGGGTCTACGACAGAATGCTGAAGAACCTACAACGAAGGCTGGAGAGCCTACACCAGAAGCCAGGAGATGACCAACCTGAAGGTGAAGACTGGAGCTCTGTGGAAGAACCAACAAATATTTTAATTTTCATTTTTTATGCAGCCTACCCACCCTGGGTGCTTGGGGGCAGTGCTCTGTACCCACACTCTCTGCAGTTCTTTTTCTTGCAAAGGCTCAGGATGAATACAAAGTAAGTACCCTGGATCCCTGTTCAGTCACTTAGCCAAACCTCTGGACTCCTCAAGTTGACACAATGTATCAACCATAACAATGTTTAAATTGATTCTGATACATGGTAAAATAGATAAAGTTATGGATAGTGACATAGAGTGCTGATTATACCTATAAAGAAAACAGGTCAAGAAAGAAAGAAAGAAGGAAAGAAAAGAAAGAAAGAAAGAAAGAAAGAAAGAAAGAAAGAAAGAAAGAAAGAAAGAAAGAAAGAAAGAAAGAAAGAGGGTTCTTTATTTTCCTATGATTTCCAGCCTAGTGAGTAGGCTTTATTTTCTAATCTGATAAGCAAATCCCTTGGCAAGGAAAAATTGAATTATAAAGCTCTTTTCAATGAATTTAATCCAAAACCTCTGATAAAAGATCACACAAAATATTTGTACAAAATGTGCATAACTATTTTTTCCCTTAAGAGAAGTTATCTTTTTCTTTTCTACTATATGGTAATTTTCCATCATTTGAAAAATATGAATAATCCAGAAATGGCCATCTGAGATGAATACACACGTCCCAGATGAAGACATACAAGTGGCAAATAAATATATTCAACATCATTGGTCATTCAAGAGATGCAAATTAAAACAGCACTGAGATTCCATCTCATGCTAGAAAGATTGGCTATCATCAAGAAATCAATAACAAAATGTGAGTGAGGCTGTGGGGAAGAAGGAACCCCTCTCCCTTTTGGGAGTGTAGACTGGTGAAACCATGGTGGAAATTCCTCAAAAAACTAGGTTTAGAGGTTCCATTCAACCCAGCTATTCCCCTCCTGGGTATTTTTCCAGAAAATCTGAAAATATCATACCACAGCGATATATGTGCACCCATGTTCATAGCAGCACAATGTGTCACAGCTAAATCTTGGAAACAACCCAATGCCCATCAACTTAGGAATGGATAAAAAAGGTGTGATATTTTTATACAATGGATTATTACTCAGTTATCAAGTAAGATAATCTCAAGTCTTTTATAGGTAAATGGATGCAACTAAGGACCATACTCATAAGTGAAATAAATCTGACCCTCAGGTGTAAACATTGCCTTGTCTCCCTAGTGTAAGAAACTGAAAGAGTAAATAAGATCCAAAAGATACAATAGGTATTGTGAAAGGGAAAGAAACTGCTCAAAAGGAAAGAACAACTGGGATAGGGGAAAAGAGAAAAGAAAGAAAGAAGGAAGTGGGAAAAAAATATATATATACACACAAGACAGCTAAGATAATTATACTACTAATTTATTTTGGTTTATTGAAAGGGACAATTAATGCTTAATTTTTTGATCAACTTTTCATGTTTACATCTAGTAATCTGAACAACTATTTTGAAGATAACAATACGCAATATAACAACAATTGTTGATTTTTTATCATCTTGTTTTGAAATTCTGTATCATTTTAAATGTTTTTTTATTCTCTTTAAAATAAAAAAATTTAAAAAGCTACTTTTCCTAACAGAAAACACCCATTACAAACAGAGATACACATTTTTGCATAAAAAGTTACATGACTAGGTTCCTGGTAAAACTTTTCATGTTAAAATTAAACTATCAAATTTAATGTGTTGCTACAAATGACATATGAGTGAATTTAAATAATTAGCTGTATGTTTTTCCTTGCTGGAATTTAATTTGATTACACCGATTGATTTCAAGCATTATGTGAAAGACCTCGGACATTTAATGTGGACATATTATATTTTGCTCTGTGTTTGACAGCATTATGGAGCGGCGGAATATCTTTCTTGATCACCAGGAAGACGCTGATAGTTATTCAGATTCTGTCAAATTTGATGCTCGTTCCATGACAACACTGCTTCCTCCTAGTAAGTAGAGGGGGAATAGGGTGCCCAGCAGTGGTGGTGCTTGGTTAGTTTGCTAGGGATGTTGTGAAAAAATCACAAATTATGTGGCTGAGAACAAGATTAACCAGCATGAGCAATTGAACAACTGAACAAATCCTGTTTCAAAAGTAAAAGGGGGCTGGGAATGTAGTTCAGTGCAAAGGCCCTCGGGTCAATCACCAGCACTGCAGTCAATCAATGGATGAAGTAATTTCTCTCATAATGCTGAAGCCTAGAAATCTGAAATCAAAGTATATGAAGGACCACTAGCCCTTTCAATAGCTCTAGGAAAGGATCCTTTTTTGCTTTCTAGACTCTAGTAACTCCCATCGCTTCATGGAATGCTTTGGCTTGTGGCTGCATCACTTTAATCACTGCTCCTTTGTTCATTTGTTATTTCTTCCCGTGTAACTCTTCTAGAAAGACCCCATTCATTAAATTAGATTGACTCTAATCCAGTACGACATCATTTTGATTTGAGTACATCTGCAAGGCTCCTATTCCAATTAAGATCACTTTCATAGGTAATCAGGGTCAGTACTTAAACATATTTTGGAGGGACACATAATTCTGCACACAAAAAGTGAATCGGAAGTTTCAAGAGGTTACAACAGGAGCTCAAAACAAACAATGTTCAGCCTTAACCCGATAGGCTTTTTTAAGGTGGCAGGAAAGGATTTCTTACAATTCTTTCAGGCTTGAAGGATCAATACCTGTATCCAAGGGCATGGGTGGAAGCGGGTGGATTAGAAAGATATCTCAGTTGGAAGAAGCAGCACACATAAAGCTTTTAGAGGATAACACATGAGGTCCCACAAAGGCAACTCTGGAATATAGAACTCAATCCCTGGGCACGTAGATCTTGTGTCTTGTGTAAAAGATGGGTGGGAGGTTGAGGCATCAATGTAATGCACATGACAGAAGATAAAGCAAAAGCTGCTATAGGTAATGAGTGAATGGCAGGAAAGCACGGAAACATTGGCAACAGTGAATCACGTGAGATGTGCAACAGGTAGAATACGAAGAATTTGTGGTGATGAGTTAGAAATAAGAAAGAAGACATACAGACTTCAGTGTTGGGGTCCAGGAATAGCTTAGAGACATGGTTCCTACCTGGCAAGTGCAAGGTCCTGAGTTCAATACCTGGTTCCAAAAACAACAGATTTCAGGGCTAACCAACTTGAAAGGGGAAATGGCCCATCTTGCTTGGATTATGGGTTATTTTTCTTTTTTCTTCAACCTTTTCTTCCCCTTTCTTTCCTTTTTTTTCTTTACTCTGCTTTTGAAATTGTTTTCTGACAATCTGTCAGGCAATGTTATAAAGCAATATCTTATATTTTGCTTTTGGTTTAGGTATTTGCAAACAGAAAACAAGTGTTACTTCTCTTTTGTTGAACAATAAGATAAATGACCAGAGGGGGGAATTTTTAATGGATATTTTATTCACTTCATCAGAGAAAAGTCTTCTGCAACTGATTCCCCTCTCTCTCAATGTATTTCTCCCACAATTAACATCCCATTTTATGAATCACTGTTCCATACAAGACTAAGTTTAGAATGAAGCTAAAAGATTATTGCTACTTTAATATGTTCTGAAAAATCCAAAGTATGAGCTTCAGTGGTCTATACCAGACTTAGTAATTGCAAACAATTTTATCTCATTGAAAAATAATTTTTATTTTATATTGAAATCATAAGAGGTATTTGAATGTAAAACTACTAAGATGGAATTTGTAAAGAAAGTTAAATTTTCTTGTCATTGAAAATAAATATTTCTCTTATCTTGTTAAAATATTTAAAAAATTTACAATTACTTGGAGAACTTTACCTGGAATATGTTGCCACATGAAATACATAGAAAAATAAAATATATGCTTGCATATATCAGTGCTCTATTAAAATTTACCAGCTAATTCCATAAAATGAGATAAGCAAAACTTGTGGAAATTTAGTAAATGTATAAATAAGTCAAATGCTCACAGTGAGACCTGTACCAGCTTTTTTGTGCCCATCTTCTTGCTTCCTATTTTGTAAATAAGGATTTTATTCCTATTTTTTACCCAAATAGGCTTGATTATTACATAAGGGGCAATTACAAAATTTTAATCAAGTAAGAAGAGCAAGTTTTCTAACAATATGCTGGGATTTTTTTTTTTTAGATCCTAAAAATGGCCTCCAAGAGAAACTGAAGTCCTTCAAAACTGCGCTGATTGCCCTTTATCTCCTTGTGTTTGCCATTTTGATACCCGTCATCGGAATAGTGGCAGGTACAGTACTCTAGACTTCAAGCAGCGTTCAATTTGTTTTAGATGGTAGATTCAGAAAGCAGTTTTCATATACAAAGTGTTCCTTAAATTCATTAAATTAAAAAAGAAATTTACGCAGTGTTAAATGGAAACAGGTAGACCTTTAAAACTAGGCAAAAGATTACTCACTTCAGCAGCATGTCTACTAAAACTAGGCAAAATAGAATATGGTAAGACAAACATGCAATATGTGAAAGTCATATGGCATAATTTAAACTATTTAAAAATACATTTTCCTTTAAAGTACGATATATTTCTAAGGTTGGGCCACACATTTTGTGATAAGCATTCTTGTCCAATGTGAAGAAAAAAAAACAGGTTAACATATGTTAACAATGCATATACTATAAAAACAAGCCTATTGCTTTTTTAGTTTTCTTTAAAATAAAAAAAGAAATGATTATTTTAAAAAAACAAGCCTAATGTGTAAATCTCCTGTGTCTATTATTGAAAGTAGAAAAGAATTCTCATTGTAAAATAATGACTTTACATCATTTAATGTTTATACGGTTTACATAACTACAGGCTTCATGGCTATTATTTTAAACATCTCTAAAAATGAAATTAAAGCACTTTTTCAAGTAAAAAACATGGCCTGTGTTGCTGGAAATATGGTTTTCTCTAGGTATGTATTTCTTTGGGGAGTTTGGGGATGAATTTGAGGATCTGTACAGGAGTAGGTGTATATACCTCAACAATATTATAAACATCATTGTCCTACAGAAAACTTTTTATGTATTTGATGGATTTTGATTGGCAATTGAATTTATATTCCTGCCACTCTCCTTTTCTCTCTGGCTGATAAAGTGCCTGGCCATATTTCTATCAAGGAATAGTCTTTGAATAAAATACATTTCTAAGTGCATACTAATTAGCCGAACAAGAAAGTATTTCTAAATACAAGGCTCAACTTCCTGGTAAGGGACAATCTAAGGACATATTCTAAAATAGAGCTAAAATTCCACTCAGAAAAAAATAAAAATGGCAATGTAAGAATAGCTATTGTTTTTTAATATTTTCTGTGTCCAGGCATTGGGCTATAAACTTTCCACAGATTATCTTAATATACCCTTATAGTTAACCTGTGAGCATACCCCATAACTATCCTCATTGTGGACACAAGGAAACAGACTCCTCAGTAATAGAGGTGTAGTTCCCATTTATAAATTCTGGATCTTAAACTCCATGGTGTATTGTCTCTCAGTGTAATTGAATTTTTATAGTAAAATATGGTTTGCCAATTTAAAAGAACTATAACCAAAAAAAAGCATACCCCAAAATGGTGCTGATTTTATCTAGAAAACATATTTCCTTGTGAAAAAATTCATTTTAGACATTAAAAATAAACACAAACAAGAAGAGAAGCATAAAAACACAATGCGTCCACAACAGCAAAGCCCATGAGCAAGCAAACTGCAGCCATCACAAACAAAAGGTCCTACTGTGCCTGAAATGAGCCAACTTCCTGATGAAACAAGGTTTTCTCTGTGTTGTCTGCAGTCCCAGGTGCATGGCTGAAAGTAACATCATTGATTGGGGCTATTAGCTGTACACTAGTTAGAATTTAGATACACTTCATCTCTTTTATCCAAAGACACAGCCCATAGTGCCAGCCTAGGGCACTAGATCCAATCAGAATGCAGACAGGAGTCTTAAAAGAATTCAAGTTGTAATCAACTCTAAAATCTCTAAGCTATTAGAAAATACCACTAAGTCAGCACATTAGATCTAGAGCTAATGATGATTGATATAATGTAATTTGTTTCCTGAAACTATACTAGGTACCTACTAAGATTGACAAGAACATGAAAATATTCCCATTTTTTAATTCATATCAGTACCAAATTCACTAGAATTTAGAAAAGAACTCACAGTGTCCCTTATACATTCATAATAAACAATTGACTATTTAGTAAGTTGTAGGTCAGAATATTTTTCACAAAAGAACCCCAATAAACTATATAATTCCACTTGATATTAGAAAATTACATATGTGGGCAAAATATATCATTCAAATGGTAGAAGTTACTCCATTCAGGATATATGAATTGATGGATGAAATAAAATACTGTATGGAGAAGCGATTTAAATTTAACATGCCTCATATATTGAAAGATGTTTTCTTAATTATATGATTCACTCTGTATGCTACCTTTTCTTAAAGAAGCTGCTAAATTAATGTCAGAGCATTACGATGTAATGATGTCTGAGAACACTAGGATACAATCTAAGGTTAATGTATATGAATGGCTACTGAGACACTAAAAATACGTCACTGAAAACAATACAATTTTTGAATAGAAAAAGATATTACCCACATGAAAAAGTAAATATGATCATTTTAGTCATTAAAAAGAAATGTAGAATCAAATACGACTCTCTATGTAGGACTTTGCAGGGTCTAAAATATTATCTCCTTTCATGTATGAAATAGTAAAGTCACAAAATGCTACCTGTCCAACAACAATTAAAGAAATGAGCTTTGGAACGTAAATGCTCTGGCACTGTTCACCTAGCTATAAAATAAATAGCCGAATATTTTGTTAGAGAAAGTAAAGTTTAAATTAGTTTCATTTGATGTTAAAGAGAAAACAATGCTATAATCACTGTTGTAAATAACATCAACATGTTATCACCTATAGTTTGTTAACTTGAGTAAGTTAATGTTAAGGGAATTTAACCAGGAAAGTATAAAACATTTCTAAAAGTAATTTAATTGCAATTAAATTATAACAGTTATTCTCAGTGTAATCATTGCTACAATAGCTATGATCATCAGGCACTTCTTTAACTAAAGGTAGTGACTGCTAGGGGCACTATAACTAAGACACTATCTTTCATGAATTGGCACTTTGTAGTTGCACAAAGGTTTTAAATGTGTCAATTTGTCTGGTAGAGGATTTATGTGCTTGATTTCACTCAGGCTTAAATCACTGTTGAGGTAAATATTACTGCTACATTTTTGAGGAAAGGTAAGCTGGAAAAAGATAAGTAAGTTACCCAGAGTAGCTCAGTGAGGAGTGGAGAGGCATTCCAGAATCACGTAGCCTTGTCCTATAGCAGGCAGGGTACTCACATTTATGTAACAGGTATCCTGAGTTAGGTGTGGAAAGGGGTGTGTGTGTGTGCGTGTGTGTGTATTACCTCATCTAATCCTCAAACATCTATAAACTAGTAGTACTATCATATAGAAGACTAACTTAGGGGCTGGGGATTTAGCTCAGCAGCACAGCACCTGCCTGGCAAGTGCAACGTCATGAGTTTGATTCCCGGTACCAGAAAAACACAAAAAACAAACAAACAAAAAAAAACTAACTGACTCAAGTGTAGCTGTATATATGTACTTATAAACTATATAAAATTTACTTTCCATAATTGTGACTAAAACACACATATATGTAGATGATAAATATGCATCTAGAGATAGAAAAAGAGCAAAATCTTAACCACTACAGGTAGTAATAACATAGTGTTTAACTTTTTCTTCATTGTGTGTTTTTTTTTTCAGCAAAGTTAATGTTTGTGATTTTCGTTTCTTTTTAGAAATTACACAGCACATTGCTGTATAGTTTGGAGGAATGATTAGCTTGTTTAGAAAACATATGCTCATTTGGAAATATGTATCAATAGCTCAGTATGCTTCTCAAATGCCACTGGATAGAATATTTTTTCAGAGATAATTTATGCTAAGACTGTTCATTAAAACATTAAATATATTGCAAAAGCAGAAGCAAACTCAATATAGGGATTTTGTTAAATAAATCTGGTAAACCAATACATAGAACACAGTGTGGTTATTGAACTATTTCTGTGGGACAACATTAGCTAATATTAAAGAGTATTTGTTTATTTATGATATACCCCTGTCTTAGTTACTTTTCTGTCATTGCTGAGACAAAATACCTGACACTCAGAATCAAGGAAGGAAGGGTTTATTTAGCTCACTCTTTGTGGAGGTTTCAGTCTGTACTCAGCTGGCTCCACGGCATGGTGGCATATGGCAGAGGGCAACAGTTCATGGTGGTGGAAAACAGCAAAAGCAACAAGAGCACAAGGGAGGAGTGGCAGCAAGCAGCCTCTTTCTCTCCCTTGCATATGAAAACTATCCACCTTAGGGCAGGAATAGCACTCACACCTTAATCCCAGCATTGCATCATGGATCAATCATAAACTCTAAAATCCTGTCCCATGACTGCATGAGGATTTGGGGGGACATTTAGACACAAACCATAAGAAACACTGTATTAAAAAGTAATTTACAGATTATATATAAAATAGTGTCTTTCTTTTTAATAGTTTGGTAGTGGAAACTGGAACCTGTTTTAACATACAAAAAATCAACTTCAATGGACAGAAGATTCATGTAGGCAGCAGTTTAGTAGAAATTACATAATCTTGGAATAAAATCCAATGTAAAATATGAGAGGGAGACTTTATGATCTACTGAGTGTGATTCAGTCATTGTATGTTTAAAGAAAATACTCAGTTTATGGTAGTATTCAACATGCTGTAACGGAAAGAAATGAAATAAGTGGAATGAATGATATAATATGGAATGATGCATGCACTTAAGGATAAGTCATGCTTAGGTTTATATTTATTTAAAAATGCAGCTCATCTTCTGAAATGGGAAGTGAAGAATTGCACGGTTGCTTCAATTCATACAAATGATATGTCTCAAAGTCTAGGAAGAGGAAATGGCAGTGAAGATGAAATGAAATTTCGAGAAATTGTTTTGGAACATATCGACCACAGTGAGAAGAGAATCCAATACATTTCTGACGCACAATCCAATTTCATAGATTCAGAACATTTCCAAAATTTCAGTGTGACAACTGATCAAAGATTTAATGATGCTCTTCTGCAGCTAAGTACCTTAGTGTCCTCAGTCCAAGAACATGGGAATGCAATAGATGAAATTTCCAAGTCCTTAATAAGTCTGAACACCACATTGCTTGAGTTGCAGCTCAACGTAGAAACATTGAATAGAAAAGTCCAAGAGACTACACTGAAGCAACAAGAGGTAAGAGCTTTTGTACTACAAGGTCACTTTCTGGAATTAAGTCCACCCAGATCCTGTCTCCTCTGGCAGTCCAGGAAAGCAAACTATGCAAATCCTATTTCAACACCGTGCTATTTACCCTGACTCTTCCAGTAATCTGACTAAAAGGTTCAAGTGCCTTTACATAGTGCCTTGTCCAGATTCCTAGCAAAAAGCGTAATTATTTTCCATTGGATATAGAGTCCTTTAAGATATTTTAATTTTATTTGTAACATCATTGTGCATTCTTACACCATTGAAGCCAATTGTAATTTTTAGATTATTTTGGTAGCCTGTACAAGTGATCACCTTATATTTGTGAATTTTACAATAGAACCAATATTTCTTCACCAAAGGAATGGAAATCTTATTTACATGAATATCTTATAAAATTGAATTTTGATTTATTTTGTTATTCTTGAGTTATGCCTGTTCTTATATATAAAAGTAGCTTAAACTAAAGAATTAAATTTTGAATAATGTATACGTATTGTCATCCTAAGTTTATAATAGGATAGTAATGTATGATTATAGTATTAGCATCACAGGATAAAATACACATTAAAGTTTCTATTTCCATGGACACTATGATAACCATTTTCACTGAGAAACACAGCAAAGGAGAAGCACAAGCACAGTCAGGATGCCAAACAAGCATATATTCCCTTATATTGCCACCAAAAAGAGCAGGACTGAAGACCAGCTTGCAGTAAAATGTCTTTGTAATGGACCAGAAGAAAACACTTTAATCTTTGGGGACCATACATTTCTGTCGCATCCTCATTTAGCATGAAAGCATCAAACATAGACAATATGGACAGAAATGAAAAAAGCTTTAGGGCAACAATCATTTATTTACACAAATAGTCTGTGGGTTGAACTTGGTCCATGAGCTATAACTTTATGACTCCTGTTCTAGAACATTCTGTACCAACTTTGATTAAGACCTGGATTACTTTGCTCTTACGAGAAACAAATTAAGAAACAAATCTTGTATTTTAAGTTGTGTCATTTGTTGCATAATTCTATTTGTTTTTCCATGGAAAATAAATGCTTAACTAGTACTTCACTACCCATGTGAAAAATAATAACATGATAAAATATGTAGGACCTTAGACTGTCATGTGAACCCTCTATTTCCATCACTGGTTAAGTAATTCCAATCATTGGAGTAAATTGACTTAGGTAGATTCATTCATAGAAAGGTTATTTTCTTTATAAAATCATCAGTACACCTAGTGATTTTTTAAATTAATGAGCAAAAATACATCTCTAAAGGTAGCACAGCATATGAAAACCAATGGAATTATTGACTAAAAGTGAATTAAACACGTTAAAAATCCTTCATTTGTATAATTTTTGTGACTCAATTATTCAAAACTTTGGAATTTTTACATCTTCCTCATCTTAAATTGTTTCAAGGTATAGCATCACTGCTTCACCATGCTGACTTATTTGGCAAATTCATCTCCACAATAACCATAACATTTCACTCCTTTTCCCTCTTGCTTTTTCCAAAATCTGGCAGGCGGTGATTCCCGCATTGTTAATAACAATGTATTCATTTCAAATATGATCTCAAGAAGAACTTGTCCACAAGAATGAGGGATGTGAGAGACAGAGGAAGATAAAATGTCAGTTATAGTAGACTTTCATTAACCTGAAGAGAAAAGAACTATTACTTTATGTAGAAATGAGAAGAGAAGATGAACAAGATGGAAGAAAATGCACACCTTGTTTGTAAATGTGTCAAGCCCAGCAAAAGTGACAGAGTATCTTTGAGCCCACATAAAGTGACATAGTGCTCCCACATCAGAAAACGATAGGAAGGTCAATTTCCAGTGAACTGATAAGTATGTTAAATGAGTGGCCAAATCATTAAATGCTCTTTGGGAAAAAAGCCTGTAAGTAATACCAACATTCTACTTATCAAGATTATAATAATCTTTAATTTGAAAGAAAAAGGAAGAAAATTGGTACTATAGATGGATAATACAGGTGGGATATCTCATCTCCATTTTCCATAGGAAAGACTGGACAACTGCAAAATTAAATGTGAATTTCCAACAGTGCTACTGTTGGTAGAGTGTGGAAAGTTTATATCAATATGGTATAAGATTTAGAAAAAGTTAAATCAATTTCCCACCTCCCAGTAAAAGCAATTGAAATTGAAATTTTGCAAATGTGAGCATCATATATAGTTTTCAAAAGCAATTCCAGGTTTCTAAATAGCAAAATCACTTCCTAGTGTCCAAACTTTTACTCCATAGGTATCTGGAACTACAGGACCCATTTGCAATAATTTGTATTCATGTAAATGAAATCATCTTCTGGTACATGCATCCCTATGTATAACACAATGAAACTCAGTTTATATAGTTAATATATACTACTAATAAAAAAGAAACTTTTAAAAAGTCTTAAAATTACAAAAATATATACAGTATAGTTCCACTAAATTATTGAAAATGTCTATCTTTAAAAATTTAATAGGTAAATATTCTTTTCTTTTTCGTTTGGTACTGGGAATTGAACTCAGGACCATGCACTTGCCAAGCAAGGCTCTGTTCTGCTAAGCTATATCCCTGGCCCCTAGTATTCTTAATATATTGTCAAACAAAAAGCATATTCCAGAACATGGTGCACTTATCTCTTCTTCACAGACTCTCTCTGTGTGTATGTATGCAGGTGTATAAATACACACAAAATATGTATACAACTACTAATAGATAAAATTAAAGCCTTAAATACAGACATGATCAGAATTGAAAGTCAAATACAATAAGTATGCTACTTTGAGGTTTTGTTGAACATGCAAATCTATCCTTGATATTCACTATCACTGAGAATTGCAACATTAAGCTTTGGTTACTGCTGGTTTAATGTGTAAATTTAGAAACTTATAAGAATTGAAATATGTGGCCACCTTAAGTATACTCTAAAGAAATATCACTTCAGAAAAATAAAAAGTCATATTACAAGTTTTAATTTTTGTTTCTAGCATTTGATATCTAACTATTTGGGAATAGAAATCTCCTTCACATATGCATTCAATTGGAGGGGAGCTGCTTTGGCTAGGCCTGCAAAATTTTGGGTATTTAATCGAAAGAGGAAATGTTTCACAACCAAAGAACTACTATTTCAAAGTAGTTTGCTAATTTCCATATGCTTCTTCTTCTATAATATCCCCATAATATTATGTTTTATAGAATCCTGAACTTCCAAGGCTTCTTGAACTTACATATTTGATAATTATAACAAAACTTGTGAATGTTCACTTGCTTCACAGGATATTAGTAAAGTGCAGGAGAGTGTATACAATGCATCAGCAGAAATTAAGTCTCTGAAAGAAGAACAAGAGCATGTGGAACAGGAAATAAAAAAAGAATTGAAAGTGCTGAATAATATCACCAATGACCTCAGATTGAAAGATTGGGAACATTCTCAGACATTGAGAAATATCACTTTTATTCAAGGTAAACTGTTTTTTCATTTCCCCAGAGAATATCATGTGTTAATGAGATATAGGCAGAAGTTTGGGATTTGAAGTTCTGTGGTTTAAAATAAATAGTTTTCAAGTGTTTATTTACTATAAATGCACAGACAGGATCTTGAGGTCAGATCATACAGGGAAAGGATAACCCATGGCTACCATCTAAGGAGAAAGAAATAAATAAATACCTTAAAATCCAGTGAATAGCTTGTTGATGAACACACCACAGTGTATCAAAGACCAATGTGTTTTATATAAGTACAAAGTTTATGTTCACACCATGTCTGTTAATTCTATTTTTCAAAATTTATAGTTCTTTCTTACTTCTTACTTGATTATACTATAAATTAGGTCTTTTGAACTCCTTATAAAATAATGATAATTTGTAATTTCTTTTTCAGTTCTTGTTAATAAAATTAGGTGAATTTACTATTGCTGATTTTTAATAAGCACAAATGATATATATTTCACACTACCATTTAGTTAAATTTACAGTGTAGATATTTTCCACATTTTATTTTCTTTGATTTATTTGATGTAACAATTTTTTTTGCTATATTTGTTTCTGCCAACTTATTTTTGTGCTGTTTTTCCAGTTTGTTTTACTTTTATTTGCTATCTTTTCTTGTCTTTTTAAAAATTGATTGAGATTTTTCTTTTATTGGATTTTCTATAAATATTACCGCAAAGACATTGGACACTTTATAGTATATTCCTATTTTCTTAATGGTTGCCTGTGAATTGTATCCTAATAAAGTCTATATAATTAATCAATATCATAATGTATCATTCTGAAATATATAAGGAACTTAAATTATCTTGTCTGATGAATTTTTTTCCTGGTTTTCTGGTGTTTGAATGTAATTCATTTCTATTTTTCAGAAAGTATTTTTCTTCATACAGACAGTATATATTTAGATTTATCTGCTAGTATATCACTTGTTTCACTTTCTAAATGAATCGCAGCAACTTCTTCTGGGATCATTTTCTTTCTGCTTAAAGTGTATGCTTTGGAAGTCCATTCAGTGAAATCCCATTGATGGTGAAAACTTTTACTTCATTTTCTCTGTTTTAATCTTGATCTTTAAAATTACCTTACCACATATACATTTCTATATTACTGTTGTCCCTCAGTACCACTGGGTTATTGATTCCAGTACCTGCATAGATACAAAAAATCTGTCTCTTCACAAGTCTCTCCTCCGGTATACTTTGAGTCATGTCTACATTACTTATAAAACCTAAAATCACGTAAATGCTATGTAACTGTCAACATATTCTACCAGTTAGGGAGTAGTATCAAAAAAAATTTTCATGTGCAGTGCAGATACTTTTTCCTTTTAAGTAGATGGTCGGTGAATCTGTGGGTATAGAATCTGAGAATACAAAGGACTGATTGTATTTCAAAGAATTTTTTTTCCCCCTGACTTCTGGCTTTGCTTGCTGCTCTTAAAATGACTGCTACTAATCTGTATGTCAATCTCTTTGTGTCTAATATCTATAAATTTATTAATTCATGATTTTATCTGAGAATCTACCTATTTGACATTTGTTCTATTTTCTAGATCAATGTATTTATATTTATCTTTAATGAGAACATTATCAGTTTCCACATCTTAGCATATTGTTTCTGCATACTTCTTTCTATCCTTCCCTCTGTAACTCTAAAGTCATATCAGATCATTCTATCTTTCATGCTTGTTAAGTTCTCTTTCATGATTTTAATATTTTTCTCATCAGTAATTAAAGGACAGAAATTGGAACTTCATGAAATTTCATTTTATATATAGGAAAGTTAAAAAATCTGATAATCTAAGTGTTGACAAAAAATACAAGTCCCCGGAGACTATATTGTATAATTCCTGATATTAATGCTCACAATTTAGTAACATTAATTAATATGCATATATGGTCCCATACATATTTAATAAGTATGGTAATTTTTTAAATGAAAGAAAATAAGAAACATCAAATTCAGATTTTTATCCAATAAGGAAGTAGGTGAAGAAGATGGGGAGCACTTTAGTAGATACCTGTTTCTTGAGTTGTAATGTTTTAGGAGTATTTTTTTTATTACTGTACTTTATATTTTATGTAGACGATAAACTATATACTTTATTTAAACAGGAAAAAATTTAAATTAATCAACCTTTCATTAACAATTAAACTCTATCTTTGATTTCAAATAAGTATCCAAAACTTTTCAAATCCAAAACCAAATCCTTGACCCTTTGCCAACCCACCCCTACTCACTCTCCCAAACCTGTTGCGGGCCCTGTCTTTTCTTCAGTTGTATCACTGTCCCACCAGTTGTTCACTTCAAGATCCTCCAAGCTATGTTTGACTTTTCTCTTAGTCTCATCTCCCTTACAATCCATCCATGAATCTTCTTAACCCTACTTGTGGACAATTTTTCAAATAAACTCCCTCACTATCTCTAGTACTCCTCTAACCTAAGCAACTTCTTCCACCTTGGTCCATTGTATCAGCCTCCCAACTGGTCATACTGATCCACTCTTTACCCATTCTACATGGAGCAAAAGTTTGTTAGCTTAAAAACTCCTCACACATGTAATAGATAATTTCTCTCCCATCCTTAGACTTTCCAATATCTGACCTTTGGACTTAGAATAAAGTGTAAACCCTTCTCAGCTTGACAGTCACCTGCTTTTCTGGCTTCATTTTAAAACTTTCCCTCTGGCATTTCGTTGTCTAGCTTATAAATGTGGAAAAATGACGATGCCATGAAGATGAATTATTGGAATATAAAAAAATGAATTGTGTCTTTAACTAACCACTTTATATATGAAGGAAAATTCATCTCAGGGGTAATGAAGAATAGATGACAAAATAAAGTCAAACAGCTTTGAAATATTATCCATAAAGCATCAGAAAGAAGTGTCCTAACTCTGGTTTTATCCAATGAGTTTTAAGACTTTAGGCAACTCATTGCCTCTGCCCTTCATAACTATATTTGACTAAGCAATTTTAAGGCCTCTTCTTGATCATGCATATCTGAATCAGTGAGCATGAAAAATGGAAGAAGAGAAAGGGAGGGAGAGACAGACAGACAGGCAAATAGGGTTAAGAAGCCATAGCCTAGAAGATTTAGCAGATTTTAAAATATGAATATGAAACAATACTGAGGATGAAATAGAAAATTAATAACCATAATGAACAAGACATGGAAAGACATCACAGTGGAAATTTAGATATATTATTAATGTTGTTGTATTCTGAGGGTTTTAAATGGTAAGGTATACCTAGGTTACTCTATGAGCTATTGCTGAGTATAATTGTTAAGCAGTCTAAACCAATACATTTCTTTTTTTTTATTTTAAAGAGAATTTTTTAAAAATAACAAAATAATGACAACATAGACAAAACCAAACAAAGCAGAAATGATAAAAATGATACAAGGTTTCAAAACAAAAGGATAGGAATTAACAGTGATTGTTACATTACATACTGTTATCTTCATTGAAGTTGCTCAGATTATCAGAAAAAATCAATACATTTCTTGTAACTACAAAGAAGTCTTACCCTTTCTTTTTAAAAAATAATAATGCAGAGAAGGTATATAATAGGATTTTATATTAAAAATTTTATCAAAGTAATTGCTAAAATAATGGAAAACATGAATTCTTGTGTCTTCAGAAATAAATTCTACATTTTGGCCAATATTAATTTTACTTCTTTTGACATGTGTCATCAAGAGCGTTGACAGCTAACATTATGTCCAATTACTGGTCAATGTGTTTATTGTACAGAATCTTGAAGACACTAAAAGAGAACAAAGAAAGTAACAATAATATATTTGAAGTCTTCTAACTGAAAAATTAATTATTTTTTCTTCCATAACATGGTGGAATAAAGTATACTTTTATGTATTATATATTTTGATACATTATAAAAGTTTCCTTTTTTAAAAAGTTAACACAAAAGAAATATGAGAGTTCAATAGACACAATCCATTTAGACCAGGTAAAAACTTCCAGCATTAATCCAGCTGCAAGGCCATAGGATATGAGTTACAGCAGGATAGAGGGAATGCGAGATTTGGAAGGTCAGAGGAAAACATTATGTTGACAATGTTATCAAAAGTTTTACACAAGACACTAGGAGGGAAGTGACTAACGAATGACTTGTTTATTTTCACCTCCCAAACTATCTAAAAGAGAAATAAATCCTTTTTATACTTTGATGATCACAATGAAAGAGATACTATAATATGTAAAAACCAAACTTATAATACACAAAATTATAATAACCTGAAGATTAGACTAATAATAAAAGTATAGCATCTAACATAACTAGTTAGACTATTTAAGCAAAACCCTTACCTGGTTTCTTGCCTTAGGACTCAGATATCAGATGCAGACAGAGAGGGATCTTTAACTCTGAATTTTGTAAAATAATATAATTGTACTTGTTGAGACTGATATCGCAAAATGAGCAATGTTTTATAGTTACTTTAGCTACATGGAAGAAAATAGAAAAAAAAAAGTAATAATTAGGAAGGAGTCATTTCTTACTTACCAAAGAAATGGTGAAATAAATTTAGAGGCTAAGAGCCTCAATCTGGTCTGTGGAATTTGCTTTTCATCTCACACATTCTAGTTCTGCCTGTATCTTGCTTTGGATTCCTAACTACTAAATTAGTCTTTGCCCCTGCGCTTCTTTTTGAAACACCATCCTTGAGAACTGCAGGTTTTATTCTCTCAACAAAATCCTTGCTACAAATTGTACACAGCTTCTCCTCTCATTTATCACAGTGTAGTGATGAACAGAATGCAGCTCTGATCATGGCAGTAGATACTCAATCCCCTCTCCTGGGAAGAACTACAGTTTGCTAGATAGACTAAGCAATGCACAGAGATTCGCACTGATGCGGAGTTAAGACATGTCTTGTGCAACACCTAAGTAATTGTCTCTCAACAATTAAGCTATCCCTTCAAATTCCCTAGTTACTTACCTGATGCACAATAGTGTAGCTTACATGATGATTACATGAAAAACCCACACAGCTGAATATGAGACAGACAGAAATAGAGAGAATGTAAATGGTTATTCTCTTACAATAATAGAATTATAAATTATAATTATAAAGTATAAATTATACTTTCCCTCATAATTTCCTGTAGGCTTTTATATATCCCACAAAAATACATTTGCTTTTTATAATAAAAATATCATTAAATATTACCATCCAATTTTGAATATGAAGAGAAAGGCAAAATGTGACATTGGGAAGAATCATGGATATCCTCGGCTTCTCAACCCCTAGTTGCATCTTGAAAAATAGAAAAGATCAGATAAATTGAGAAGTAGGGACAAGGATGTCAAAAGAAGCAAAAAAGAAATTGGCAGAGTACACTTACTCATGACAGTTTATATTTTGTCACCCCTCCTGGAACTGTATATAAATTATGCCTCTGGACTTGTTTACAATTTATAACAAGCAACCTCCAATAGGGGATGCTAAATACAGTTGTATATGGCCCTGAGGTTGCATATTTGTCCAAACTGCAGCAATTAAAAATGCCTGCCTAACACACCACTATTTAATTATCCCATGGTACCAAGTTTGCTTTTTTCTTTGGGGATTGAAAAGAAAATTAAATGCTCTGCTTTAAGCAAAGGAAAGAACACTGTCTTGTACAATCAAGACGGAAGAGGGAATGCTAACAGGATTCCTTTAATTCCTAGGAACATAGTGCAATCATTTTGAAAGGTGATTAGCAGATATCTGTCTTGGGAAGTCAATATAAAATGCAGCACTCGGGTCACCTGAGAAATAAGCAAAGTTTTCTGTGCAATCTGTCCACCTTATTTTGTAATTCCTATAGTGATCTAAGGGTTCTACTTAATATTTTAGTTGAAAAACTATTTCTCTTTTCCATATTTTGCCACATCTTTCCCACATGTCCAGAATTATTACATTTTTCTCTTTGTACTCATTCTTTAAATTAGCCCTCAAATTCGACTTCTTTAATGATGTCTCCTTCGTCTTTGACCATGCAGGTTGATCTCCATCTCTCTGACCGATACACGTGTTTCTGTCAGTACCATCAGTATGGCTTTTGGTTATCCTTTTTTTTTTTGTTTTTGTTTTGTTTTGTTTTGTTTTGTCTTTTTGAGACAGGGTCCTGCTATGCAGTTCAGCCTGGAGTTGAGCTCACTTTGTAGCCCAGGCTGGTCTCGAACTCACAACAATCCTCCTGCCTCACCCTCCGAAGTGCTGGGATTACAGGTGTGCGCCACCATGCTCAGCTTTGGTTATCTTTGGTGCATGAATTTTTGTTTCCCTTGAGAATATTACACTTGTATTTTAAGTATTTACTTATATATTTTCTACACAGTATCTAATACAATGAAATCTGCCCATTATGTGCATAATACTAATGTTTAATTTATTGTAGCATCTTCTCTTTTTCCCCAGACTCTCAGGATCTAGAAAAGTGTTAGTTACACATAAATAATATATATTTAGGAGCCTGAGTTTAGGACCATGCCATCCTTATCAAAAGAGCATTATAGTATTAAAAATGAGTATTCTATTTAGGAAGATGTGTTTTATACATTCTATGTTATTGATGAACAAATAAAAGATGGAATTTCCTTATATAACTATCTTGATAAATGACAAATATGTTTTATTTGTGTTTTACAACTATGATGAGTAATGTAATTTTTTGAAGGTCCCCCCGGACCCCGAGGTGAGAAAGGAGACAGAGGTCTCACTGGAGAAGTCGGTAGACCCGGCATTCCAGGTGCAAGAGGTACGGTCCTAGTAACAGATTACTCATACCCTAAATATTGGGCAAAGTAGTATACAGCCATGTATGTATGCAGAAGAAAATAGCTAATATTTTTTGTTTCCAGTGATTTATATGTCTGGGTGCACGTGTGAACTTACTCTTTAATGCGTTGGGGGAAAGTGTAAGTGTTCTAGCAGACTAAAATAATGCATTAAGCGAGATTAACTTTTTAATTAACTTTTCAATTTTAAAGAAAATTATATTTTTTTAGCTGGATCCACTCCATGGAGTTGTTCATGAATGTAAGGAGTATTCTCTCAATCATAGATTGCAAACAGTATACACCTGACCTCCCTGTAGGTCACATTTGAAGGAGAACATGCAAAATTATCTTCACATTGAAAAAACATTTGCAAGATCTGTTTTTTAAGATATAAAAAATACTCAAATATGAGTCAAGGGATATAGGAGTATATGTCTTATATAATCTTTGATCAGACTATTTTTGCATAAATGCACAAAATCTGTGAGTAAATAGCGACTAGAATATCCATGACTTTTTCTTCTCTGTCAGCCACTTTCTATTTTACTTAAAACAAAATTGTTTCATGTCATTTTCCTATGTGTTGTAATTTTGAAAGCAACATTTTCAAAGACAATACTAGAACACACAGCAAAGAAGTAGCATGAACTTTCTTTGCTTTAATAAAATGAAAAAGACAACAACAATAACATGACAGTCATGCTACACTTATCTAAAAATCAAATCTCTTACACGCTGTTTAAAATTAGGGGTGATTTTACATGGTCTAATTATAACTAAAATGTTTCGTTCTGTGACAAGATTATCTCAATACCTCCTATTTCACCATATTTTTCTGGTTTTTGATTACATGAAATGTTCTTTCTGATCAATGTATTGAGTAGCTCAGGTTATATCAGGAAAACAGTTTTTAGAAAATAAAGAATTTGCTGCCTAAATGTCACATCATTATGCTTAAAGGTAACATATAAAATTTATATTTAAAGAGACTTTAAACATATTTTGAAGACTCATCTCATATATATATTTTGGAAGGTTGTTATCAGTGTGCTTCTGGAAGTGATGTCAGGGAAGAGTTTTTGAAAGGTCCTCCGCCTTGACTAGTGCTCAGCAGATCTTAACAATGGTGCATTAATGTCATAAGTAGGGGAAGTAACCAGCATTACAGCAGCTGCCAGAGCTGCTATTGTCAAGGATCTGTCAGCTTCTCTATTACAAATTTCAGTTGTCAAAGCTGTAACTCAACCACAAAGGTTCAGTGTGGGCTACAAATTGCTGAACAAATCTCTATCTTGAGTATGTCTTTTGCAGCTCTTTCTGAATTGTCGATATATGAGATAAAGATGTAAAAGCTTTTGTTAATACAGTAAAGAAACACCATTATAAAGCTTCTTTGATTCTATTAACAAGAGCTTAATTTGTTGCTATAGGTACTGCTCATCTACACAAATAGGTATTATCCAGTTCCCTCATGAAAAAGTTAGTTATAGTTGATTAGGTGATAAATGGACTCTTGGGTGAGGTTATGAAGTTGCCACTTGGTCTGGTGCATGACAATAAAGTATTAAAGTCACTAAGATCTCATCTAAGGGCAACTTCCCTATTTAATTCCTGTACTTTATTTAGTTCTTTGCCAGATTAGCTGATTGCCTTAAATTTGATACTAAAGTCAGTAAATAAAGACTATACAGGGGTTAGTCACAATATTAATTTAGTTTATATTGCTGTTTTGAGACCTGTCTTGCTGTGTAGTTCGGGTTGTCTTTGAACTGACTATGTAGCCCACATTGGCCTTGAACTCACAGCCATCATCTTGCTTCAGCCTAATAAATCTACTTTCTGATCTTTGGCAAGTTCATTAAGTCTCCATTTTTAAATTCATTCGATCCCACCAAAGTCATTTTGTCAAGCACTTAGACTAACCAACGCATGTATGTCTCAGAAACTTAAATTATTATAGCACTGGTGTGAACATATTATGAGACATGCTTTATCTCAAAATAATAAAACAGAAATACATTTTAGAATACTTTGGAGTGTTATTTCCTTGGAATAATGCCCAAGGTGATATACCCCCTTTTACTCAAATATATATACTGAATGTTTTGTCCCAGCAAAGCTTATAATGTGACTAGTAACTTTTCAAAGGACATGAACATCGTGGTCAAGGATCCCTCATCTGAGATACTTTCAGAGGGCAGTTTCAAGGTTATTTTCCCATGGCAGCAATGCTTCCAATAAAGAATTCCTATTGAGTTTCTAAATCATCCTTTTTTGTAGGGCATCTAATAAAATGCTTATACTCAGTGGAATAAATATCAAAATAAACCCAAGTTTTAGATTATAAGATCCCTAGAAAGAAAAATAAAGACTCTCTTGGGTTGTAAAATTTTCATCATCCACCAGTACTATGTTCTTTTTGTTAAGTAACTTGAATTCTCCACTGTAAGACTCATGTCTCTGCAGGAGAAAATAAAGTCTGTCTTGACTGCAAACAGTGGCAAACAGGAGCCTTATTTTATTGGTCTTTATTGTCATATGTTCCTTTACCTTCACTCCCCTCTTCCTTAGTCTGACCCGGGAATTCCTCTCCCTCAGCTTCAACAAGGACATAATCCCTAAATATGCCAAGTAAGGGACATCGCTGCCTGCAGGCTGTTGATCTAGGCCTCAGAATTGAAAGTGGGTTTCCTCTGGAGGTAAAAAATTGGGGCCAGGGAAATAGCTCAGCGGCACAAATGCCTGCCTGGAGGTTAAAAAATAGTGCCCACCCCCCAAAAAAGTCGTGGCAAGGTATCAAAAAGTCACTAATTACTGTATATGTTATTAAATAAAACTAAGTTTAACCACTTTCACAGAAAGCCTGGTGTAAATAATGACTGTTTTACAGAAGAGCAGGAAGAGGAGGAATGGAAGGAAGGTTCATGTAGTGTTAATTGCATGCTAAGCACTTTTATCAGTGTTTTACATTGGTTACTTCATTTAATCAGCACAACAAATCAGTGATGTAGGAACAAATAATACACCAATTTGCAGGTGCTTAAGGAGGTTAAATGACTTGCTCAGTGTCAGTCAGTAGCTGGTAAGTGCCAGAGTCAGTGTTTGGACCCAGAGGTCTTAACCAGCTCACAAGACCCTGGAAGAAAGTTTGAATAGAGAACTGCTAGCATATGCGCATAATTATCAGACCAACCTTATGCAAGTGACTTGATCCCTCTGGCCTTCTGTGTCTGCCTCTATGGAATGACAGATTTAGACTAGATGATTTTCAAGGGCCTTTAGAACTCTAATATTTCATAGCTGAGCTTCTATGTGTCATTGTACCTTTTGCCTGAGAGTTAGAAACTGATGTCAAACCCTTTAGCCTTGCTGCAGATTATTGTAGGAAATGAGCTTATTTTTACAGGAAAGGCTCTGAAAAATCTAGTTTCTTGGAATAAAATTAAAGAGTGGTGTTTATATTTAAGGGCTACATTTCAAAGATCATTAAACAAGTCCTGTAATTCCACAGGCCAAATAGAATCTGCTAACGTTTCTGTAATAGATAGTATAATAATTGACTGCTATCTGTGCAAGGGTCCCATTTGCTGAATTTGTGGATTCATTTGTTTACCTGTTGAAAAGGTACCATAATTCATGATGAAGCAGCTGCATTCTGAAAGTCACTGTGAAGTAGTCAATGAGTCATCCTCGGAAAGGCCTTATTGTTCTCTTTCTCTGAAACAGATTGTAAGGCATCCTCCATTTTATTCCTGTTTTCCAATGTTTTAGTTTTCAAAATTACCACATTTGTTAATCTATTACTTTTATCACCATCTGCCTCTCCCAGCTGTCTCTACCCTCTCAGATGTGGATGGGTAAGGATGTTCCGAGCCCAGGAATGGACAGACTGTTGCAACACATGTGCTTCACAGATACTTGTTGGGTTCATTGAGGAAATAGTAGAAATGAGGGCTATGTGTAAGTGTACTCTGCAGAGAGTGGGTGACTCTTTTAAATTATTTTTAAAACGAGACATCTTAGTGTCAGTGTTTTTACCTGTAAACTTCACTGATAGATCTCACTAACAGAGTACAGAGTCTGATTGTATAATGAAGTTATGAGTGTTGATTGATCAGCTGGTTCTGAGAACAGATGTTAGAACTTTTCATACTATACTAAAAAATCCAGCCAATATATACTACTAGGTAGTATACATGATAAATACACTGGTACGACAGTGTAGTACGTATAAAAACCAGTAATACTGAGTAATTGGGTTAAAATGTCCTGGTATTACTAAAATTTGTAAATATAATTTAGCATTTTACTTATCATCTCTTTAGTTATATGCTTAATTTCTGTTAGAATCAAAGTTTTAGATTGGGTTGAATAATATTTTTAACTACTTAATATATTTCTTAAACTGAATATTTTTAGAGGACAATTAGCATAATTTTAGTTTACATGAATGAGACTCAGTAAAATGGTTTGGTTTTGCTTTGTTTTGTTTTGTTTTGATTGACTATGCTGAGAGTCAAACACAGGGCCTCTTCCTTGATGACAAGTGTTATACCAAAGAGCTACATCTCAGCCCAAGGAAAGAATTTTAAAATAAACTAAGTATGCATAAATTCTGGCTCTTAGATCTGGTAAACTAAAGGTAATATGTTAAAGGTTGACACTGGAAAAAAGAAGTATAACCAATTTATCATAAAATAGCTTACCAAAGATCCAACTCAACACTGAATCACGGAGATCTTTATGAACTGATAAGGACATTTAAGATAAAGTAAGACATTTAAACTATTTCATTAGCTTATGCCAAATCACTAAACACTGGGATAAAAAGTTTTATCCCATAAGAATACAGCATTTGCTTTTACATGCAGTTTTCATTCTTACCATAGACAAAATAATAACCATTTTAAATATTTAAAATTCTAGATTTGTATATGCACCCACGATATACCCACAAATAAATCGTGTTGTATGTGATTATACTTACATTCTTGGGGAATGCAACAAATTCATGAGAGATTTTGTAGTTTATTCAAGAAACAGAGCCTCAATTTTTAAATAAATACTCAACACTTTTCATTGTTTGAATTTGGGTTTTTTCCTCTTGTAAATCTTAAAAATTTAATCTTCAGCTAGTTATCATTATAGCTATAGCAAAATCTGCTATTTGAAGATCGCTGATGGATTATATAAATCAGTTAAAGCTCCAGGATTTAGTTTGTCTCCTGTTTGTATTTCTGCTAACAGCATGTCATTGAATGTCTACAACACGCTTATGGCTTATATTAGCTTTCAATGGCACACATGACATCTTAAGAAAGATCTCCTCCACATGGAGATTCACTTATTTCATATTCATGCATCGTACTCTCATATCTATTTGAAAAATGAATTGTTGTTCTTTTCCTTTCTTCTTCATTAATCATGTAGGTCCTCCAGGTCTTAAAGGTGATCGAGGAGTAGCTGGCTTTCCTGGAAGTAGAGGCTTACCAGGACCACCAGGAATTACGGGCAGGCCAGGTATTACAATGCTATGTATTTTGTTGTAGACTATAAAAATAACTACCTCATAGACAGCTGTTTTGAAATTCTTCAACAACAAAATATTTCATCAAAATCTGAATAATAGCACTCATGTGCTGGTTATTTGGTTGCCTGAAATGTTTTAAGACTGATTTCTGTTCACCTGAAGGAAGTTTTTATGTCCTAAAGAAGAATAGTTTAAAATGCAAATACACACAGCATTTATGTGCTCAAGACAACCAGAAGTCACCAAGAAGGAAAAAAAAAGCTTTGTACTTAGGGGACAGGAGAGAGGTTGAAGCGGGGAGGGGAGATTGGGGAAAAACAAAGGAATCAAAATATATCATGTACAGGTACAAATTCCCTATAATGTATATGATCATTATGTATATCTAAAATGTACCAATAAGCTTAATTTTAAAAACAAAAACAGCAGAAAAGAATTATATTTTGTAGTATTAGAACAAATAAAGTGAAAGGAATGGCAAAGAAAAACAAGCAGAGTTTAGACACTCCAATAACCATTCTGTCAAACCCTGTTAAATTAGTGTGGCAAAATACAGAAAACCCTAAAATTCTACCTTATACAAAATAAACTCCCTGAATTTTTTTATTAGTGCTTAAAAATTGACATTGTTCAGCACTTCAATATTTACATACATAATGATAGATTATGACAATATCCCAAGCTTGGATTATGTACTTTACACAGGAAGTGTAGGAGAGAGTAGGCTTATGTTGCCCTAATTTCTTTATTATTCTTTTCTTTTTTCCCGTATGGGGTATCAAACTCACGATCTTGAGCTTGCCAGGCAGGCGCTGTGACACTGACCTAAATCCCCAACCCCTGTTTCCCTAATTTCATAGTAAATTATTACTATGAGAAAAATTATTACTAAGAGAAAAGATCTGTTTGAATAGATTTTATTTTAAGTGAATTTTATGTTTATAGAAAAATTACATAGACTGTATGGAATTCTCATATATCACTCCCCCGCATACAGTTTCCTCTATTGTTTAACATTGTGCATTAGTATGGTACATTTATAACAATTAATAAACCAATACTGATGCATCATTATTAATGAAAGTCAAGAGTTTTCATTAAGGATCATTTTTTTCATTGTACATTGGATGGCGTTATAATGTCATGTATCCCTCATTGCAATGTTATACATAATAGCTGCACTCCACTACAAATTCCCTATGTTTCACTTATTTATTACTACCTCCCTCCAAACCTTTGAGAACTATTGATCCTTTTACTATGTCCACAGCTTTGCCTTTTTCTATATGTCATAGTTGTAATTATACAGTGTGGTCCTCTCATACAAGCAATATATATTCAAGATTTCTATATTTTCATGGCTTGATTGTTTATTTCTCTTTATTATTCAATAGTATTCCATTTTATGGATTGATCGCAGTCTATTTATTTACCTATTGAAGGACATCTTGGCTGCTTCCACATTTGGGCAATTATTCATAAAGTTTACCGAGGAGTGTGATTCAGAAAAACATGGTAAACATATGTTTAGCTTGGTGAGAAATTACTACACTATCTCCCAGAGTGACTCTACTATTTTGCATTCCTACCAGCAATGAATGAGAATTCCTGTTGTTCCACATGCTCACTGACATTTGGTGTTATCAGTGATTTGGAGTTTAGAAATTCTGACAAAATTGTTGTGGTATTACTGAATCAGTGTATATGAACTGTGTCTCTGCCAATTAGCTTGGAGAAAAATCAGCTAGCCTCAAGTAAGCGACCTGTAATTAGTCTCCACTAGAGACTTGATTACCTGAAGTGAGTGGTGTATTTATGTACCAACCACTGCTAAGCATCTATCCTTAATCAGGCTCTTTTGGCAATATGGGAAGAAGTGTTTGTTGTTTAATTTGCTTGAAATTATCGACATCACTCGAGGATTGCTGAATTTCATTTATGGGCAATTTGAGTTCAATAGACAAATATACTTAAAACCTTAAATTTGACACAATTGCAAAGCTACTTACAGATTCCTAGATAATTTAATGTAATTCTGTGAAGAAATGATAACATTTTTCTAAGTTTAAAGTAAAAACATTATATATTAGTCTATGATCTGCTCAAATAATAATGTTTATTTAGTATGGCTGACAAAAAGCAAAGATTTTGTTTTGAACTCTTGTGTTTTCCTAAGTACATTATGCTACAAAATAAGATTAAATCAAAAGTGAGTTAGCACCCTCCCTGGAATTTTCCTATGCTCAGTAATCTAAGACATGGCTGTATAGCAAGGCTCCCGAGAATCACTTGTCATCTCTCCTCCCTTTCCAAATTGTGAAACTAGTGCTTAAATGGCTAAATTAAGCTGAGTATTTTACTATGTTCTCTGTAAGGATTAGAACTGATCAATTGCAACTTGTTTTAAGTCCCCTCTTCTAAATAATTTTTAAAGTTTCTTAGACTTTTATTAATGAATAATTTGAATATGTGTTACTATTCTTCATAAAAGTACCCTGATTGAAAAATAAGAGAAATGCTGAAGACTTTGTGGTACTTAATGGTTTATGATAATGTAATAGTAACTAAAATAACTAGTAATACTCCCTAAATGGTACCTGAAATAAGTACCTAAAACTAGCACCTAAAATAATACCTAATATAGTACCTAAAATAGTAAAACAGTTCCTAAAATAGTACATAAAATTGCAATTAAAATTTAATGTGAATTTAATGATATAAAATATAATCCAATTATATGAAGCAATTTAAAAATTAGAAATCCCCATCATAGTGTTCTAAGGAATAGTTGGCATGTCATTAAATATTCAAAATAAAATTTCAGTTGGTAGTTATCTGCACTTTTTAATTTCTTCAATTAAATTTCTCATGCTACTTGTTACACATTACGTTACAATGTTTAAGAGTGATAAATTAGAGGTCAGAAATCTTCTTGAAGAGGTACATAAAAACAAACATTCAGCACAAAGCTCAGCGGAAACAATCAATTAAAACAAAAAATAATTAGTATTAAAACTTTAAAATAAAATTAAAACTAATGTGCCACAAAATGCACTAAAAAAGTCCTGTTTTCATTCAATGAGAGGAAAGATCACAGACATCACATTCTAGTTAAGCTGCAGGGGTTGAAAAGCATAAACAGTAACAAGTGGGCTACCACCACTTATGAGCTTGTGCTTTATGGATACAGGTGCTAATTTTCAAGGCAACTCTCCAATGGGGGGAATTTTATTTTCATTTTGTAGTGGAATGAACTTTTATCTTGAAAAGATTTAAAGACAATCCTCAGCTGCATACCTAGAGCAAAGTAGTAGAGTAAAATCGTTTAAGACAAGTTTTTAAAATCACAAGTGTTATTCCAAAGTCTGTGGCTTTTAAACAATGAGGGAAGGATGGAAATTCTTGAATTCGTAGGGAGTGGATCAAAAATGTGAACCGAAGTTTTGATTTTGAGACAGATAGCACTAGAATCAGTTCTACATTTATGCTAGGAAGGCATCTGTTTGCACCTATTTTTTTGGAGGGGGTGGGAAGTATGCTGGGTATTGAATATAGGCCCTCATATACAAGAGGCAAGCATTCTAACACTGAGTATATCCCCACGACCCCTGGATGTTTCCTTTAAAAATGCAATGCGGATAAAGTAGCAAACAATTAGTGAAGACCAAAGTCTCCAACCTTGGTCTGACCTCCATACAGAATGGCAATATTCATACCACCCCCCTACATAAATGGGTGGTGATTTACAAAGGCAAAACTGACCAGCATAGAGGTTTGGATGCCCTGTGAACCTTTCTATTGTCCACTCTTATTGAGGAGACCAGAAATTCAGCACTCCCAGAAATTCATTCACACCTCAGTCTTTGGGGTGCTCTGCCCTGAAGGAATGGAAAATGATATAGACAAATGATAACGAAAATAAGAGATCAAAGCTTAGGGTGAAATGGGAGATTCTGGGTCTCCTGGGGATGGGAGGAAAGCTGTCAAAGCAAAGAAAACGAGGGTACATGAGCACAAAGCAGGCATGCTTCGGCTTTTGGTAAATTCCTCCTTTATAAAAATGGAATATTTAATACCTTTATAAGTAAGTTGACATAGTATATCAGGTTTATAATAGGGTTTAAAAAGTGACATTATTAATATCAATATTATTATTTTATTTCAGTATCTGTACCTTGCTATACACTGATATTTTATACTATCGTGTGATGTCCTATCTGCCTATAAAGCAAGCATTTGGGGGACTATGGGTATATTCAGTGGTGGAATAAGTGCTTAGCATGTAGAAAGCTCTAAATTCAATTCCCCAATGTAAGGAGGAGGTTAATTGATTTTGACTTGTGCTGATTAAACTATTTTTTCCTATTTCTTCCCTTTTAAGGAAATCCTGGACAAAAAGGCCAAAAGGGAGAAAAAGGCGGTCAGAGCACATTCTGTAAGTTTATAAATTCTTATTTTCTGTATGCATTTTTTAAATGAATAAGATTGTTGCCTTAATGGTCTGGGCTTGAGACAAATGCTGGGAAATTCGGCCGTGATCCATAGAGAGCTGTGGAAGCCGGGCTTGGTTTTCCACAAGTAAAACGTGCTAATTGGAGTAAAACAAATAGATTAAATTATACAACTCTTTCAGTCTCATTACCCATTTGTATTCTGTTTTTGTGATGAGCACTATTTTCTAAAAATTCCACATAGAAAATTGTTCAATTTTCTAGTCAATTTGTATCCACTGAAGGAAAATCAAGTTTATGAATAGAAACAATTACAGCCTTTTTACCTACTAGCTGTGCTAACTAAAACCTTATATATAGAAATTTAGCCAGCCCAAGAACCTGATAGATCAGTTCTCTGCATGCCAGTATTGTTCTGTTTGGTTTTACTAAAAACTTGAAAAACTGGAATTCCATATCCTATTTTCAGATCCTGTATTTTCAAACTTGCAAGAGAAGAGATTTTACAACAGGAATGTTTCTCAGTAGGAAGCAGACTTCCTGGTGCAATTTAGAGAATCTATACATTGAACCAAAAGCTAAATATTAAATTGGATGCCATCAATTTGTCATGTACAAGTAATTAGGCCAAAATCTATATCAATATAATGAAAAGGTTATGAAAAGGAAGGAGGAATCCCCACGTAGACTCTCAGAATCAAATGCGGCTTTCCTATGTTCTCAGTGGGAGGTCCGTGTAATATCACACGTTATGATGGGAATAGCTAATACAAAATGATCATAATCTATTCATTCAGGATCTGCTTTGCGCAAATTCATGACAAATCCCTTGATGTACCCAAATCTGGCAGTTTTTAGCTGTATTCATTGTTTTAAAAGTACAGTACCGGGCCGGGGATATAGCTCAGTGGCACAAGCACCTGCCTGGCAAGCACAAGGTCCTGAGTTCAATTCCCAGTACCATTAAAAAAAATGAATAAATAAAAAGTACAGTACCATTATTGCTACACCTTCACAAAATAAGTGTTTTAACCTATTACTATGTATGGATAGCACATTTAGACAATTTATAGCATTTATTGTGAAAATCAGCCAAATTATTTTTCTTTTATTTTGAGACAGGGTCTCATTAAGTCACTAAGTTGCCCAGGTGGTACTTGAACTTGCAACACTTCTGCTTCGACCTCCCAAGTACTGGAATCCCAGGCACCACTGCACCCGGCTAGCACACAGTAATCATGATGCTTTCAGAGTTGAACAACATAGAGTCTTCTGTGTCTTCCCAGAATATTTAGTGATAGTTCATGATGATTATTGTTATTATATTAAGATAACAGAAACATCATAACTTTTATACTCTTTGTGTTCATTTATTCTTTAAAGCACTTATTTTTGTCTTTGGTATACCTTTTATTTCCCTTACTTTCTTTCACTCAATTTAATTTCAGCTGAGCTCTTCTAAGTCTCGCTTCCCTACCTTTATGTGTGTCTTTATCTGTACCTTTATTATTTTTTAATCTTTTATTCTTCATTTTTTCCCCTGAGGCTTTCTCTGAGCTTCTGAACATTGACTTTAGTTGGATTTAGCAAGTAAGGAACCTCTTTATGTTTTTTGTGTGTAAACTGAGTAGCCACCCTGGTACCTGGGGTTAGTAAATGCTTGGAACATTTTTTAAAGCCATGCTCAGAAATGTCAGTTACAGATTTTTCGTGGCTACTTTAGAAATTATGTGTGTTCTTTTCTGGAAAAGCAATGAGGCTATTTACATATACAGATTCTTCTCTATGCCCACCACACAGACAATGCATAACACCACAATGTTTCAAAAAAGAAATATCATATATATGCACATCTAATATAATGTGCGCTGCATTTTCCATGTTTAATATATGTTATCTGTCCTCATTGCAGATGGCTCCATCACTTTTCTTTTAATTACTATGTATTACTCCAATATTCTTTTATATAGCAATTACCAGGACAAGACCTTTCAAGCCCCTTATTGTGAAAACTTACTGATTTTTGTTTGCCTTGGTTTGGCTTTAATAAACAATGCTTCATTTCGCCTTCACACATGATCATCTGAGACTATGTTTCACTTGATGATTTACTGGAACTTGAATCAATGGTTCAAAGATGTTATGTATTTTATAACCTGATGAATTTGTGCAAATGGTTCCAAAAAGCTTTTACCAACTTCCCCTGTATGAAAATGCCTGATTCTCTACATCTTTAATTCTGATATATGAAATATTATATTGAATTATCTTAATGTATATTTTATATGTTTCAGGCATGATTTAAATGCAATAAAATAATCATTTACTTCTTCTTTTATATATGTGTCAAGACCAGTACAACTCCCTGATTTTATTTGGTCAGAACGCTTTTAAGATCAGATGGGTTGGGCAGGACTCGCTCTGATGCCATCTTAGTAAAAGCCTCTTCGTTCCCGGACAAGTCAGCAGCACTTCTGACTTCCAAGATCCCTTTGTGCTGCCTCCAAATGACTTTGGTTCCTGTGTTATGCCCAGCTCCTACATGGCTTCTCTTCTGATCCTTGGTACTATTGGGCCTCTGCCACTTTTTTCATACTATATTTTGCTCTCCCACCACCAGCTCCATCCCCAGGCTGCTCACAACCACGTCCACTGGTGGAGTGCACCAGTTCACCTTCAGGTGCAGGGCCCGACGCCCTCTGCTGTCCCCACCACTCAGTTGTGCTGAACCCAATGTAACCCATTAAGTGCTAGGAGAACTCTCACGGGGTACTGGTTATAGGTAGGTTTTCAGTTTTGAAACTTTGTGGTTGACCAGGGCAGAGATGACATAAAGGAAACCCATTCCCTTTCATTCACTCATTTATTTAGTATATATTCATTGTGTGTACTTCCTGGAGCTGAATGGCCAGTAAACTACATGGCATGGCTAGCTTTCCAGAGGTAGTTGTCTGAGACATATGGACAAATAAAAGGTAATTATGTCATAAGGGATGTATATTGAGGAAAGAACAGGGCTGTACCTCTGTTCAAAGGATATAAAGATTTTTAATTCTTTAGAATATTAAAAACAAAATTGATTTTGATTTGCTTAATTTACCTTTCTGTCTTCTTTTTCTGGAAAGTAGAGCATATTTTTCTGAGTTTCAAAGAGAAATATAGTTGAGAGTATTCAACACATTTGAACAAAATCCTGAATTTAAAATTACCTATTTATTCTTCAGATTATTTATTCATTTCACAAAAAACATTTTGACCATGAAAAAATAATACTGATAGTTTTTTATACCAAAAATCTCCTGTATTTCATGTTTTAAGTACAAAGCATGGAGAAGAAGAAATGTTCCAGTAGAAAAAGATATATTTTATGTAGGGAAAGAAAGGAAAGAAAATGGGAAAGCAAGAAAGGTAAGAAAAATCAGAGAAAAGAAAGACTCAGGAGAAATGTAGGATTTTCTGTCATGTTTCAGTGCCTCTCTACTGATTAACAGATCACATTTCCACAACTGTCCTTTCATTTAGGCTTTAGTCCACAGCTCCAAACTCCACCCCATTAAAGTTCTAATACATTCCAGGTAGCATGCCTGCATGTGTACCACCATTTCCATCCTCTGCCCTGCTTAATGGACATGTCAACACCTACCTCACAGGGTTGTTGTGAGGACCAAACAAGATATTGTTTGTGGGAGGAATATGCTCTGTGAAATCATAAAGTGCTTTAAACTCATGAATTATGGTTCAGAATGATCTCTCTGAACTGAAATTTATATTCCTCTCTAGTATCTCCCAGACATTTTAAATGTGTATCCAGAACAGTAGAGAAAGCAAAATGGAAATGCAAGGAACCAAATAAACGTCAGAGACAGAAACAGAGATGCTAGAGAATAAGACAAGATTTTATATTAGCTAGAGCAACACAAGTATCACCAGATCACAAATCAGTGAGTTTGTCGGGGCCTACTGGGAGAGCATTAGTTATAAATAAAGAAGCAACTAAAGAGAGGCGAGAAGCTGTCAACAGAGGTCAGAGCAAAATGTCAGGCTAATAAAGCAAGAGTCCAGGCTGTGAAGGGTAGAGCCTGAGCCCAAGGCATTTCTGTTGAGAAAGTTCCAAGAAGCGTTGAAACAAATTTAGTGTTGTCAGTAGTATTCGGTTGGGGCTGTACCTGCATGACTCCAAAATCCTCAGAAAGAAAAGGAAGATTAGCCATTTGTCAAAACAGTCCTCAGTATTAGAAAAATACCATCATTGTGTAGTTAATTAGTGCAAACATCTAGAGGTGAAGTGGAGTTTGATCCATGGTTTTACTTGGCACGACTTCTGTCTCGCTCGGTCATGGAGGTTGGGGAGAACTGTCTTGCCAGTAGAACTTCATCCACACTGGCTACAGAATGGCCCTGCGCCCTACAGTCCTGGGAAGCATTTCAAGAGGATTCGGTTCACAAGTCATCCAACATCCTGGACTAAATATAGATTGTTCAGTATGAAATACTGACTTGACCTTTCCAAATTAAGATAGAAAGGCTTTGTGTTAACTTCAGACAAAAATAGATGATGAATACACACAGCTCAAATGTGAAATTACACAACCTTTACCAACATATAACAAAAAGAAGCCTATGCCAAATTCCAATGCTAGTCACAATGAATGGTTGACCCCATTCTCACCCTAAATGGGCAGGGTAGTGCAGTAAGTGAAAGAATTCTCACCACATCATTAACCACTTTGTAAAATTCATCCCTAAATAATCCCTAATTCCTAAATGATTCCTAAATAATAATTGTTAGATGTTTAAGTGTACTTTGTTCATTCCCAATGAGACTAAAAATAAGTTGTGAATTTTGAGCATCTTACTTTGAAACTCATACAGTGATATGAAACATCAGTTTGTCCATGGTTTGATTTCTACTGAAGTCTCAGTTCGATCTTCACTGAATTTTTTTTTCTTTTTCTCAAAGCATTTAGTTGTGTGAATTAAAGCTGCCATCTCTGATCATTGCATAATTATGTCAGGAATATTTAGAGGGCACTTGCTGTGATCCAGGTGCTTTAGGAACATTATCAGGTTTAACACTCAGAAGAGCCGCTGGGGTAAGTGCTCTCAGTGTCCCTATTTCATAGATTAGAAGGCTTGCTGCTAGGAAGTGAAGGAGCAGAAACTGAAGGCCAGGTCCATCAATTTCAAAGGCCTTATGACGCTATTCAACTCTCCCATGCTATTTTATATACTTTGTATATGTACATACCACAAATATTTAGAGGGTGTGGTGATAGTGAGGAGAAGAAAAAAAACAGGACTTGTAATGCGAGGTCTGTTTTCTAGAATGAGCTTCATAATCTGAAGACCCTAAAGAAATAAAAATTCTTACAAGAAGTCCAATTCCAAAGCGGGTTACTTGATTTAGTTACGTTTCCACCTTCACAGGGATTCCAGGCATTGCCTTTGGTCTCTTCTCCAGGAATATTACTCAGAAACAGTCTTCCTGGGATGCTCACAAGCTTCTTTTATCACTAATGAGAGGTGCATATGTGCAGCTGGGGAAGAGTTGGTACTATTTTGTCTTTACTTCAATAACTGGCTCAGTTTAACATTTGTCAGTATCATTTGGCTGCAACGCTGTGTCTCTTCTTTATTGTACCTCGTTTTTAACTCTGCAGTGTACTTGGTCAGTAGTACAAGTTAAGAGCAGGGTATAGACTACCGAGCAACAATAGGTCTAGGTCAATGAAATCAACACTGCTCATTCTTGACAATTGTGAGGTATCTAAAGTTTTCTGTGATTCCACAAAATTTTGATAGGACAATACAACACTTCATTAACACAACAGATGTGTTTCTTGGTAGAGTGAATTACTAATATGTCTTGCAAATTGAAACAGATTTAAATCAGTGATGGATCAAGCAGTTAGCACTTGCCCTATTTATTTCCTACCCTAAATGTCTCTTATAGCCTGGATCTCACCAGAGCCAACTAAAAGGAAGAGAAAATCTACGTAGTTCCATGCAAGTCTTTTGTGTCAGTACACTTGAAATTCATCCAGTATGTGCAGGAGTGCAGATGGAGGAGAGACATCTGATACAATGCTTCCCATTCCTCTACAACCTCTGAGGACCAGGTGGCTTTCCTGTCCCTCTCCAGACAGCTGGCTCCATGCTTCATATTTCATAGTAAGAAACTGAGACTCACACAAACACAACATTATTTATTTTGTTCATATTACAGCATTTGCTGAGTATAGCTCACAATCTGTTCTGTAGCCCCTTCAACTTAGCATTTCTGAAAAGGTCCTGCTCTTATACTGTTAATCTCAAGACCAAGTTCCCTAGGAAAACAGTTTGCACATAATGTATTCAAGAATTCTTCCCACTATGGTTAACCTACGGGTTCTTGATCTTTCCCCAGGGTGCTAGTTATTCCATTTCTGGGTCTCCTAATTTCTTATATCCTGCTTGATTTACTTTAAAGTATAATGACTAAATGCTATATATTTGAAGGCATACATAAGGCATTCTAATGTGAATTCTTTAGCTAACTGACCTTACTTCCTACTGTTTGCTGTAAAATTGGATTTTCACTTCCTAGAAGTGCTGGGCCCCTTTATCTGAATAAAAATGTTTAGGTTTTTCATTCAATATTTTCACAAAACTTTCACATAACTTACAGCATAATTCATTTTCCCTTATAAGTTGATTATTTGTTCTGCTATAAAATATTCTCCCCCTAAAATCTTTTTTAGCTTATTGTCTATCCTGATAACTACTACATCCAAACACATGCACAAAGAAATGTAATTTTTGCACCAAAGAATATATAATATCCTCATTTTACAGTAGCTAGTTAACTAGTTGAATAAATTATTATTAACATATCATTTAAAGGTTGTTAATAAATGCTTTTTTAATGCTTTTGTGTTGTGCGTAGAACCCAAACTTTGACATGTCAAGGAAGCACCCCCCTACAGAGCTGTATCCCCAGCCCTTAAATAAGAATCTCAAGTAATCAGTTCAAATCACAGAAGAATAGGTGTGGTCCCTAAAATTGTCACCTGTAAACTACTAGAGAAGTAAC